TTTCAAGGACCTGTTGCCCCTGCATTGTAATTCTTCACATTCCTTACCACTAAAGCAGACCTTGGTAGACTGCTCTTCAAGTATGAAATGAAGCATTCCAGTGTTAGAAAAGTATTTCTACCACTGCACCCTGTAATATGTAGAGATGCCTTGCCTGATATATTCTTAAAGCTGAAAGAGTGGATCGATGGAAGAGGCTGTATATACTTTTGTGGCCAGGTAATATCAAGAAGTGAACACGAGTGTTAGGAGACACAGAGGAAAGCTGACTTGATGGACACTTGGCAGAAGTGCGCACGCTAACACCTCATTGAAGTGCAAGGAGGTGCCTTAAGTTTTGTTAAGAGCCATCTAGCTGTCGAGAGCCTGAAAGGTTTGGAGATGAATGGAGCAGCCTGCGCCATCCAATACACTCTTAATGAAAGATCAAACCGCCAAGACATGTTCTGGTGCTTCTGCGGGAGGCATGAATCCACGAGAGTCCGACAGGCTTTCCCCGTCCTGTCTGAACTGTTTGTGCTGATGATCCGTCAGTGTGCTGGCAGGACAGGCAACACCAGTTAATGTGAGAGACTTAGTATGGGGATGCACGTATCTTTCCCATCTAAGCTGCCGGCACGGGATTGAATGATAGCCTCGCAGGCTCATAGCTAACTTTGTCCCCAGCCGTTCAAAATGATTGCACACAGTATGATTCAGTAGATCCTTACAGAGCACTGCTGCTATAGATTCCAATGGAAGAAAGCATCGCAAGTGCTGCTGTCCTTGGTGCTGATAACATTGCTGCATTTATCAGTTGCTGAGTTAATGCGATTATTCCTAAGGAAATTGTGTAGCTTTGTTTGTTTGCCTTTGTGTACTTCTGCATATACCGGTAACACATCTTTGTTTCCTAGCTTTCCTTGGTATCATGTGGTACAGGAGCTGGATGGTTGCCAGGTTTTCGTATACATGGATTGTAAGGTTGATCCAAGCCCTTTGCTGCCACTTTACCCATGTTCCCTGCAATACAGTGTAGTTAACAAGAATTGCTTTTGCAGGGAAAGTCTTCTTAAGTGCTTCTCTGGATTGGGAATAAGTAGAATGAATGTAGTTCACATAAATGCAATTAAATTAATGGTACATGTATGTTGCTGACTAAACTGCCTAAAACTCCCTAAGCTTTGATTGGACTTTGTTTTTCTAGGCTAAAATTTCAGCTGAACAATTTAAGACATTGGACTAAAGCATTTCTTTCAACTTTTGTTTTTATACATAGCTTCCCTTAGTTTTGATTTGCCAAAAAACAGTTATCTGAAGAGTGTAATAGTTTCTTAACTTTTGGATTTTGAATTATAATCTTGTTGGCCACTTACCACAGAATAATTTGCTGAGGTGCAATTTTCCAGCCTCATTAAGGAACACAGTAAGGTAGATCTAAATGACGAATCTTGCATTCTCCAGAAAGTGCTATGTTGTGTACATGTACTTGATGGTATGAGCAGTGCAGTGAACTAATTGGGAATGCCAATTAAGCCTGAATGTGTTCACTGCAACTCCTTTCTGTGCAGAAGAAAGTAGAACATGTAGAAGTACAGTCTCCAAGGCAGTATTTCCTGGCGAGTCTTGCCCTGACACTGACCTGTTGGGACTGAGGAAAGGACATCATCAGCTGTTGCTCCTGTCCTGGCAGCGACATTACGGAGTCATGCAGCGGACCATGAAATTGCTGCCTGAGCCATCCCTTTTACACAATGCTCAGGGGCACAGCCCAGACACCAAGTAAAAGCCATGCATCGTCTGAGAAATCCTCCAGAGTGGTTTGTGGTTCATCCATTTTAGATAGGACATTTCTGCTGACTTTGTCAAGGAAATCCAGTCGTTCGACAGTAGGAATGTCCTCTTTGTCATGATTAGGAAGGCTTCAAGTTGTCATAACTTCGTTTCCTTCCTTTTGAACAATCTTGGGAAGAGACAAGACAACAAGGAAAAGCCATTAGGTCTTTCATTTTGAACAGCACCTGGGTTCTGCCGATATGTCAAAAATTTCATCTGTTTGAATGATTTTGCACATGTAGTTTGATAGGTGAGATGGAAGGCTGTCAAAGCTTTATTTTCTGGGGCACAGACAAGACTTTCATTATGAAAAGGCATATCTTGTCTTCACAGCTGTTAGTGCCTAGTTTGATCAATCCCGAACAGGAGTTTCATGCTGGAATATCAAGGAAGTTCAGTCATTAGAAACCAGCAATATATATGTCTTGGAGAAGGCACCATTGTCACAGCGTCATTCCATTACCAAGGAGATGTCCCAAATGCACAGCCTTGAGTCATTGTGATACTGCTTTTTGTAGGAGTGATACCCGGAGCAAAATAGGCAGGTATCAATCATGGCTACTGAAAAGGTTATATCGCAGCTATGCACAATACATCTCTGATGAGTGGAACTTTAATCTCAAGTTGCGGGAAATGGCACCGTCGTATCTTCAATTTTCAGCCGCAGCCAGGCTTTAGTGTTGGCAATGGTATCTGGAGACACAGTGGAACTTTTGAAGTGAGGTCAGCCACTCTGAGGAAGTCGACATTGATGGAAACGTAGCTGGTCTCTGTGTTAGATGACGACACACGGAGGATTTATGTTTAAGTGCTTTCAGCCCAGGGAAAGGAAATTCGTGAGGTGTTCTATTGCTGACGGCTGAATGTCTTGAAGCAGAATAGTATAGACTGCAATCTTTCAAGGAAAGGTGTAGCAAACATGACATGGCCCTTTAACTTTTATTATGCTAACATACATGTAACCTATACCTTTTGTTAAGGCCCTCAACTGATTTCATGTCTGGCAACAAATTTAGACAGTCTGCAATCCCTTCTCTCAACTACGGTATACACTGGTTTAGGCTTTGGTGAAAATATTATAAAGTGCTCTCTATCTAAAAGAAAACATTTACTACCAGTGGTACTAAAAAAAACTGTTGTAATCTAGAGATCAAGAAAAATGATTGTGAGCAAATTGAATTTAAAGTCACACATCCTCTGAAGTTCTATAACAAAAGGAAATGCCTAAAGTATTGTGCAGGATTGTTCTTCAGAAGAGGACCTTTGTCCTTAATGGAAAAATGGCCAGCAGCACTCCCCGTGGCTTTCCTTTGGTTTCCATAATAACACGCTCTAGCTGCTGCAGCCGTAGTCATGTGCAGAACCCTGTGTGTGTGGTTAACGGACTTGGTATTTACCTGTGAGCCGTGAAAAATCAGTTTGAAGTGGTGGAATCGTCTGGGGAATACCTCTCTGTGTAAGCTGGCAGAGGTATGCATACAGCGATATCAGATTTTATTGCTGGCCATTCAAATTGATGGGCCGTGCAGTTTTGCTATGCATTTCAATGTCGGCAGGTACTGTACATGTTGCGCTGATGCATTTTACTGACTTTTCTGAAAAAGATTTGAAACCTTGATATGTTACCGGTCTTTGAGGGGAATGTTGCGTGCATTTGGTAAAGCTCTTCAGAAGGCACAACATACTTTCAAGAACCAGTGATACTTCTTGCAAGAAGGGACAGTAATTTTGGTCAGGCCAAAACAATTTTGTTTGCTGGCTCTCGGATTTTTGCATGTCATGGCTTCATTCAAACTGCTGAAATCAAAGACTGCATTGATAAATGAAAAACTTGCACTAAAACTTAGAACACTTATCGGGGATTCTCTTTAACTGTTGCTGCTAAAAGTATGATTTTTTGTGGTTGATTCAGAACCTGAATGGTACATGCACAATTTTTTTTTGCAAATCAGCAAAAAAAAATGAAGCAGACAAATCTGCGAACCAAGAGGTTCAATGGCCTCAGCTTGCTGCATGCAACTAATATAATAAGACCTGAGAGGGTGGTGTAAGGCAGATAGAGGATTACCCGAGCACCTGCCATGCCAGACTCTACACATTTATAACATTGACCTGTCTGCTGGGAGCTCCTGCACTTCACCCCTTTGCAGATGAAATAAATGGTCTCCCCGCTAGTGAAGTGGTCCGCCCTGTCGTATGTCAGTGGGGTTTTACTGAACAGGACTGTCTGTCTAATGGGATAAGGACTACTAAAGGGCTGGGAAGCAATAATGGGCAACTTCAGCCCATCAGATAACAGAAAGATGTGGTTTTGTAACTTCTCCTTAGAGACTTTCGGACACATGTATTTTGTAACAATGTGGAATAGAAAGCTATTGGGAGTGCCAATGTAATATATTGTTGTTATTCACCAGCCTGCTTCACATCCTTTTCTCTTATTAATGGAAGATCTTGGTATGTCCTTACTGTGCATCAGATAACAGAAAGATGTGGTTTTGTAACTTTTCCTTGGAGAACTTCACAATGTGTCTTGTGTAAACATCGTGAATAGAAAGTTATTGTGTTATGAAATATTGTTATTCGCAAGTCTGCCTCACACCCTATCCCCTTATTAATGGGAGATCTTGGTATTTCCTTACTGTGTTAAGGTATGAAATCCATCTTGAAGCATACAGTACCAACCACAGACATACGTTACCAGTGATACAAAGGAACTATCACCTTTAAAAAGAGTTTGTCAATGCAGGAACATGATTTTCTGTGAGGAGGCATGGCCAGTGCATTCATTTGTGGACAGCGTTTTAATGCACTCTTATTTTATCTTGGAAGTATGTATGTAAGGTGGCTTTTCTCAGACCATGGAACATGTGATACATGTAGTTACAAATGGGTGCCATCCTCCATACTTTCTGCCGACTTCTAATGTCGCATTAGGAGCTGATGAAAACTATAAAGGATGGCTCCCAGGCTAAAACAAGGTACCTTTTAAACTTGAAAAAAGTTTTAAAGTTTTCATCGTGTTTCATGTACCTTACAGGCTCACTGTAAGTATAAGCAGGGCAATGGGCCATCCTCCTTAGTTTCCGCTGACTCCTAATGTCACTGGACACCGAGGATGGCACCCAGGCTAAAGCAAGGTACCTTTTAAATTTAAGAAATTAAAGTTTTCACTTTCTTCCTTCCAGGCTCACTGTGAGTGTAAGCAGGGCTATGTGGACCTAGTGGAGGGACAGGGCTGCGGTTTGATCGACATCTGTCAACACGACAACCCCTGCCACAGGAATGCCAACTGTACCACCGTGGCGCCCGGACAGACAGAGTAAGTCACTCACTCACTCAGTCCCCTCCAAGCCTAGTGTATCTGTATCTGTATAGCCAGTATAACCGCCCCTACGCATAACACATCAGCTAGTGGCGCTTGGGGCTCCAGTAGCTTTTTCCATCTCGGACAATCGGCAGCCAATCTGCGTCTTCTCACTTCGTTCTCCATGGTCCTTCTCCACGTCTCCATAGAACATCCTCTCACTCTTCTTCCCTGTGGCATCCGCCTCAATGCCACTCTTGTCAAATCAGTAACTGTTGCTGGTTTGTGAGTACGCGTCTCGAAAATCGATGCTCCTCCCGACAGGAAGATTACAGGGAAGCCGAGAAATGTTTCACAGTTGATATCCCCGAACATCCCCGGAATGGTGATGGCTTACCTCAGAAGCCTGTCCTTTCACTGGGGATCAGAACCAGTTATGTATGCCTCCATTACATGTATGGATGGCTACTGTATGTCAACTTGACAAATGTTGCACTCCCTTGATGTATTTTGTCATCTGAAGTGACAGATTTTAACAGAAAAACAGACATAATATAACTTTTTTGAAATAGTTTATTGTTGTTCTTAGGTACTTGAGATTTGTACTATAGATGTACTTTGTTACTGGCACTGTGAATAAAGTCTTTTTTGAATTTTTAGTTTGAATGCTGTAAATTTTTAATACTATTGTACATCTGAATTCCACTTTGTAAGTATGATTTAAGTCTTTTGGCTTAGATTTAAGTTTGAATTCTTAAAATTATAATTCTATAACAGGTTTACCCAGTCAGCTAACCCTATACATACTTCCTTATTCATCTTTTGAATTCTGTGAAAAATGACTCACCATTATATGTCACTTTGTTCCTTAAGGTGTGTCTGCAAATTGGGGTACGTGGGAGATGGTATCAACTGCTACGGAAACATCTTGGAGGTAAGGAATTATCTTTCAGACGCCTTAATGGTGTCTCTTCTTCAGTCTTGCCTGAAGATTGATAAGATCAGGGCTGCTGCTGATATTTAGTTGACAGCTCAGTCAAATGTGTAAATAAGTGCTATTGTTCATTTGAGATCTGTAGTCCACTTTGTGACTATGAATAAAGCCTTTTGTCTTAGTTTGAAGTTTGAATTCTGTAACTCGTAAGGAGAGCTAGTACGATACCAACTGCTCTAAAAACATCTTGGGAGTAAGGCATCATCCATCACACATTACTGATATTTCTCCCTCAGTCTGACATGTAATTGCCTGAAGACAGATAACATGATGTTTAGGTGAATGTACTTCTAAGACAGTAATGGGAGCTTTTTGCAAATCTGCTGCTCAAAGTAATGTGGCAGCTATCCTCTTTGGTGTAGCTAGTAAGTGGGCCTTAGCTTTAAGTGCATTTTGGTGCAAAATCTGCCTGTAGCATGGCTTGTGAGCAAACGGAGTTGTTTTTGGTCCACCCTGACTAATTTGTGCTCACCGAGTTTGGATATTACTTTCCGCACAGTTAGGAAGAGCAGCTCCGTGAAATTGAAGAGTTGGCTGCTTTAACTTTTTGACTTAAGGTTAAAAAAGATAGCGATGGTTGACGAAGCTGTACGCTTATTTGGAAGTCCGTAAAACAATTAAGTTCAGAGCAATGTAATTAAGGCAGAGGCGATTAAGGCTTCCTTGTTCCAATTATCGTGTAAAAAAGAGAAACGATCATCTCAGGTTGCCTCCTTGTTGGTGTCATTATTCTGTCATTTGGAAAATTGGATTAAGAAGCAACATGCTATGCTTGGACTTGGACCAGAATGGATGTGCAATACCCATCGCAATGACAGCAATTAGAATTAGTGCCACTCTCGCTTAGCAGGGGACATGCATGCTTGCCTGATCAGGGCTGAAAGGGTCTACGAGCTGTTTGTGATATACTGAGGCTAACTGCAACTTGATTAATGCAGCACACTGTGAATTATGCTTACCTTCGCCGATTGAAATGCATCGTGCTGTTAGCCGTTGCCCCAGGCTGATCATGAGTTTGGTTACTAGTACCTTTAAAAGGTCAGGGTTTTTCACGCATAGAAAAATGAAAGGCACATCCTGTGGAGAGGGTGTGCAGCTCTGTAGAATATCACCACATTGAAGCTTGAACCATTATTTATTTCGTAGCCTGTAGCATTAATTTTTCTCTGATTGAAGCACCTGTGTCCGCAAGCTGTAACACAATACAGCAGAAGGAAATACGTCAGTCCCAGATATTTTGGCTACAGGAATTCCATCTGGAGTCAAAGACTTTTTGAACAGATGCTTTAATTCAACAAACAAAGAAACAAACGAATAAATGAGATAAATGATAATGCTACTCAAGGACTTTCTAAAGGGTGTGGACGCAGCCAGGTTGGATATTACTATACCTACGGAAATGCTTCAGAATCTACAAACCATTGAATAATTCACATCTGGTAGCTTTAGTGCCCTGTTCTGTAGAAAAGCAAGAGAGTGTCAACTTGATGAGGAATAGAGATAAATCACCAAAACACACAGTTAAACTTAAAGGAGATGCACTGAGGAGAGAGTGTGATAGGGCTCATTTGGTTAAACCTTAAAAGAACCGCGCTGACCCCTTGCATGTTGAGTTCGATGACGGTTTAGACAGATTCTGGTATGTTTCGTCGAACCCAACGATTTCCCATTAGAAAAGCGTTTTGATTTCTTGATGAAGTTATTTACGAGATGAAAGTGGCTGTCAGTCTCTATCGGAGCGGTGTCCGAGGGACCTTGTGTAATGAGTGGCTATTCATCATGATGAGAGGACATTGATCCGAGCGGAAGGCTGCCTGATCGAAAATGAATAGTCCATGCAGGTAACAGGGCAGCGCAGGCGCTGAAGTATCGAGGAGGTTTTCCTATCGGAAATGAATTCTCGGCGGTGTCAGTCACAGGAAATTTTGTCAAATGGCTGTCATTTCTGCTTAGCTCTGAAGTTCGTAAGGTCACAGCAGTAATGCATTGTGCATAATCTGAAACGATATCTAGGGTTAAAAAGTTACCACCTGACCAACAAAGCTAATGAAACTCAACAATATCTCCATCTTCTGGTCCTGACAATGATTAAAATGTACAGACTGTGACATATTTTACTTAACACTGAAGTAATTGAAGGAATATAGCAGGATATGCTTCAGCGAACAGCTTAGACCTAATGGATGCACGTTGCCTTTTAGGTCCCTTTGACGTAGCTCAAACTTTTTCTTTTTCAACTTTGCACCTGAACTTTTTAATCTAAGCCTGGTGTGCTCGCCAAGGTCAAAGCTTTTAAAGCAGGGCCCACTGGGATGTGCTGGCATCAGTGTGTGTCTCCACAATCATACATCATTGAAACGCTACCAGGGAAGAGGTCTGACCCCACACTTACTCTGTGTGCTGTCAGCGGAAAGGTCCCCACCCTGAGTGTACCGGGGAGGGCTGCTGTCTTCAATAGGTAGACTGATTGCACCCAGGGAAATTTCTGCACTTGCATTGATTCAGACTGCCTGGGTTTTGCTCGGGGGGTGTTTTCTTTAAATTTTCATGAGATTAGAAGTTGTAGTGTCACACTGTTGCTCTTACAACTTAAAGTTAAACCACAGTCTTTGTTCCTAAATTTGTGATTATTTGTTGAATCTGAATGGTTCTGAAGTTGTTCCTGACTCTAGTAAGTTTGAAAACTTGTGAAATTGTCTGCTACTGGAACTCACCTGTTCCACAATTAGAAATGTTGCTTTCAGGAAGAGCAGTTAGCAATTTTGGGATGAAGTTTGTTTTCTACGCAATTCATATTCATTAAAATTCTGTTACACTTCCAGCGCATCTCAGAGTTGAACAACGAGGACGGGGGACCACTGCGAGGCCACCTTGTGTACAGCAGTATCCTGCTACAGAGTGCCTATGCCAGGACACTCACAAGGAATGGACCCTTCACAGTCTTCGTCCCCAACGATGCAGCATTCCAGAACAAGTTTGATGTGAGCAAAGTTAATGCCTTTGTCCTTATGTAACTTGATGTCCAACTTGTAAGTGACCTTTTTGTGAAAGTTCAGAAACTTGTGAAAATGTCTTGAAGTTACTAGAAGTTGTACCATTTTTCGAACATGATTAGATGAGTTGAATAGTATGATATTCCTTGCCATACACGGTTGTTGTAAAAGTGTCTTAAAGGTACTAGAAGTTAGAACTTGTACACTTTTTTAAAATGCTGAGATCAGTAATGATATCCCTTGCCATACCAGGTTGTCCGACTAGTGAGTGACCTTCCGAAGGCCCAGCACCTTGCCAAGCTGCACATTTTACCCGGACACCTGACGGCTCACCAGCTCAACACCACCAACTCTGTCTTCAACCTGGAGGGAGCAGGGATGGAAATAGAACCAAATAAGGTAACAGGAGATACGTTGGTGAAGGTTAGACATCTAGACTCACAGAAAATTCAAACTCTACTACTAGATAAATTACAGAAATAACTTCCGGACATGCCAAAAAACAGTTACTCAAGCAACTGGATATGTCCAGTTCCATATCCAGTTGCTTGAGTAACTGTTTTTTGGCATATCGTATTACCTGGATGTCTAACCTTCATCGACGTAACTTCCGGACATTTTGAGTGACATACACCATTTATCCATTTATCCAGTACGTAGTAGAGTTTGGATTTTACGTAACAGGAGATACTCTAGGATTTACCTTTTTTTTTTCAGCAGAAATTTAGAAAACTCGAGGATGACTACATGTATGTTCAGGCCCTGATACTGTCAAAACCAAGACACACACATTTCTGTCAGAATATCTGTATGTGTTTGTGTTCATTTTTCAATTCAGTATATATTTTTATTCCTGAGAGCCAACCAACAAATGAAACTGGCTTGACGACACATTTTGTGCCCTGACTTGAATCAGAGATGGTTGGTTTCATGTATACGGGTGGCACTTTCTTCGATGCCGCATGTCTTGAACATACCTGACATTTCATTCCACAGAACTCCATGGATAATTCAATAGACAGGCAGAAAACGAGGAAATTTACCGCGGGTCGTAGATGGGGTGATGGGAGATAAATATTGATAGTGGCTCCTTCATTTGTAGTAAAATTTCACAGTTGACCCCTTGAATCGGGGGCAGTTAATTTTAGAGATAATCATGATCGTGTTTACCTCACCTTGTGATGTGTAATATTTAGGGTGGCAAGCGGAACACTAGGAACAGTCTTTGAATATTGAAAGCAAGAAAAGATTCCAGTTGTGAAGATAAAAATTTTTGCTTGATAATCCAGATATTTTATTGGTAACATTAACTGCAATATTAAAGGCAGGTGGCATGTAATAGATGAAACAGACATACAGTAAAAAGATGTTAAAAGTTTCAAAAGATCTTTGATTTACAAGTCCTAGAAGGCACTTTGGTGGTTGCCCTTTCAAGACTCTGAGAAAAATTAGAAGGACAGCCCATCAAGATGTTGGCATGTGGTAACTGTTCACAGGTTGTTTCTTGTGGCGACCACCTTCAGCATGATGAAGATTATGTGTTGTCAATCGTGCAGAAAAGCTTTTAGTGTCAGGCTTTGTTAGTGCGCTGTGCGTCTTGCATTCAAAGTGCCATTTCCCATTCTTCCCTGTTGCCGAAATGATGTGCCATTGAAAACAGTCATGACTTATTCTTAAAAATTCTTACTAAAAGCCGTCAGCCACCTGTCATCTCCATGTGGAGCTGATCCCTTTTTGTATGGAAACATTGTAGACTCTGCTTGTCTCACAAGTCCCCGTCTTAATTTTATTGGCACCTAAAGGAGGAGCCGCACTTAAAAGCATCCAGGAACGTTTTCATGGGTTCCTGTGGGAAAAGATAACACTTTACTGGGGAAAAGCAATGACAAAGAAGTCATGAATCTTCCAAAAAAAGACTTTATCTTCTTTTCCTCCCTGCCATTGTAACTTAGGGTCACTCAAAGTTTAAGTGATTTGGCCTATGGCTAGATTTATTGTTGCTGTATTATCCAGAAAAAAATGTGCCTTAGCTGTCATCTGAAGACATTTTCTGCTGACAGGTATGTTTTCAGGTATGTTCACAAAAAGAATGGAATCATCGGTCAAGGACATGATGATCTGATATTTTATGAAAGGGTCTTACCTAAAGCACAGTTCTTTGTGCACTGTTGCTTAGGTAACCTCCTTCAATCTCACTCTTTTAAAAGTAAGATGTACTGGTTATGTACAATGACACATATTCAAAACACTACTGTAAGGTTAGAGGAAATTCCCAACTCTGGCAGAAGACAGTAACTTGGTATTTAAACTTGTACTTTCTTGAATGCATGACAACTTTTACATAATACGTTAAAACTTTGCCTCTGACATGTTTCAACAACTGTAATAATGTCTTCCATTGAATTTATCATCCCACTGAGGTGTCCTAATGTTATGTGTTAAGATCTATAGATAGAGCTGTAGGTTTCATTGTTAGTAAAAGAAACAAAATTATCTTGGAAGTTTTTGTAGTAAGTTTGAGTCCAACAGTAGGAGAATTTAAATACAGATGAGCTTTCTTGACAGCCCTTGGTAACGAGTAAAGACACTCTCTTTACACAACCATTCTTGAGCCAATGTTACCTTCCTCAGGGCATTTCTGACTAGTTCACATTGCAGGAAGGTGACAGACGCACCTACGAAAGGTGACAGATGGTCACTGAAATGTCGGCTGAATCACATGTGACTTAACAACCTTATGAAACTATTCACGGGAGCCCTTAACATTTACAGCATGACACTTTCCTGCGGGTCCGTCTTCTTGGGACCAATGTCAAGTCCAAGATGGTGTTTCCCGACATTGTTGCAGCCAATGGACTGATCCATGTGATAGACACGGTTCTGGACATGGACTCAGTGGTGCCCAGTATGCCAGAGGTAAGTCATTTTCTATGACAGATTACTTGTATTTTCCAAGAACTATTGTAGAGTGGAACTCGTTGATACACCAAGCGCAGTTTGAGCATCATCACTCATGCATTTAGATGTGCAAAGGTTGGGGTTTTTCGGTGTAATATAACTAGCTGCTGCCATGCCGCGTGCCTGCAAAGCTGGTTTGTTACTCCAAATAAAAAAATAAAAGGGCAGTTATAAAGGTTTTATCTATTTTCCAAATTTACATTTGTATTCTCCAGTGCAAAATTTTATCCTTGTAATGCACCTACATGTAGTTCCCAATGTCAAACTCATTAATTTTTTTTAATTGGTCCCATCTACAATAATTGTGGCTTGTCAGCAGAGCCATTCGCATGTCAGCCTGGTTTAATTCTACATGTAATAATACCTAATTATACTGTAATTATACATATGTGGATGTGTTTAACTTAGAAATGACCTTACATGAACCTTCCTCTCCAGGCTACCATCAAAGAGTTGATCGAGGTGGAAGGCAAATACAACCGGATGGAGGGATTATTAAAGGTAGGAGAATGTCTCACCAAATGTCCCAGGGCATCCATAACCACACGCAGGTGTCCTAATGTACGGCCATATCCCCAGGTTTTCATCGCCTGTGATGCAAAGATTATCCCCAAGGAGCCGTTTGTTATTGCTAACCATTGATACAGGAAATTTAATAGCGTCAGTCAGCACATTACAGCACTTAGTGGCAGTCAGACTGCGATTATTCCTCCCTCCCTGCTAGCGGGACAATCCCTTAATTGATGCTGTATGCTGCTGCGATTATGTCAGTAACTTTCCCTGCATTAAGGTAAAGGAAACCTGCACTATAAATCCTGCAGCCTTCCTGTGGAATCTGTGAATGGAGCTGAGCTCCTGCCATAAATATTTTGGGTGCATATAATGATAGGGATTTTCAACACGATTGCTAAAAGGTCCATTTGGGGGAACCCAACTGTGTACAGCAAAAAACAAGGTGCTAATAGTATAATTGATGTGGAAGAAGCATCATAAAGATTGAACATAATGGAACATACATGTATATGGCGTTCTTTAAAAACCTATAATGGTAGGGATTTCGTCATGATCGTTTAAAAGGTCCATTTTGTGTGTAGGATAAAAGGAGGGATCATATGATGGCACATGTCTGCATGTAAGACTTTCCTTGAACATCTACCTTGTGGTGATGGATTGCATTATTGGGCTGCCTGACAGGTTTATGCCTATGGTACAAAGTCTGTTGCACTTTTAAAAACCTATACATGAATACTGCTAACAAATTTACATTTAGTCTGCAATGTATGAAATGCTATGTTACAATTTCTTCAGCAAATAATTATAGCGAGTTTATCTCGGAAAATCAATTTAAAGATAGTTATTTTCAGAGAAGACCAGCTTTTAAATGAATGATAGATTTACATTTCATTTCAGTTGCACTTAAAGGAAAGGTCATATTTTGTAATCAAATGCACTGACTCACAGTAATTGATTATAATATATAACATGTATTGTTTGGAATCTTTGTACCAGCTTGTACTAGGAATGACAGACATGTTTGTGTCAGTGAAAACTTGGCTACATTCAAGCGTTAGAAAACTTAAATATCAAATGTTATTAATTAACAAGGTTCGTTTGAAATCTTTGCACCAGCTTGTAGGAATGGCAGAGATGCTTGAGGAGCCGGGACCCTTCACAGTCTTCGCTCCCAATAACGGGGCCTGGGATTCTCTGCCCCAGGGCACTCTGGACTACCTGATGTCAGAAGAGGTGAGATTGGGAAGGGTCCATTGATCACCATGGGTCATCATCATCAGGGTGGAACTGCCATTAACTTCACAGTGTTCCTGGTAGAATTAATTAACAATTTTATGGCAGTCATCTGGGTTGATTAGAAGGGAGTATTGGAGACCTGTAGGCTGTTATCACCACTATTCTAATCTTCTCCCAGTAAAGAGAGGATCCTGTTTTTTTTTGAGATTAAAGTGTTTCTTATGTATCTCAATATTTCTTTGCTAGAAATGGTGTATACTACAATATTACGTTTAATGATTTTAAGGCTTGAATAAATGTTGAATGGAATGAAGTACAGTACACCTGAATTTGAAAATGAAATCTGTTGTTCCACTCAAAGTAATCCTCCAACCTGTTGTTGAAATTCTGGTATTGGAGATCCATGTTGAAAAACCCCAGAGGACATTAATAAACCTTGAACAGAGACATATGTATTGGAATGGGCCACAGTAGTAAGATTCTCTGTCTGGACATATTATTACAAAGGCAATATTGCACTCAATGGGCTGCCAATGCTAACTTTTAAGGAAGATAGATATTCTGAAGTTGGCGATCCATACTTGAAAACCTCAGAGGACATTGTTAAACTTTGTTCAAGGACTCTATTGGTAAGAGCCACTGTTGTAAGATTTTCTGTCTGAACTTATTATTTCAAAGGTCTGCCCAACGGGAATGCCAAGGCTTAAGTTTTCAAAGCTAAGTAAGATGTTCTGAAATTGGGGATCTATGCTTGAAAACCTCAGAGGACATTGTTAAACTTTGTTCAAAGACTGTGTTGGAACAAGGAGGTGTCCTTTAACCTCCATGATTGGAAAGACTCACAGTAGGAACATTTTCTGTCTGAACCTATTATTACAAAGGTCTGCTCAACAGGCATGCCAAAGCTAAGTTTTCAAAGTTCATAGATGTTCTGAAATTGGGAATCCATTATTGAGAATCTCAGAGGATATTGTTAACATTGTATGAAAATTGTATTAGAGGGGACAATGGTAGTAAGACTTTCTGTCTGGATATGTAACAGTTATTATCTAGACAATGTTATTATGCAGGCATTAGTATGTCTGCTCAAGTCCCAAAGCATTTAATGGATGCAAACCTCAAAGGACATTGCCTTTAAATCCTGTTCTAAAACCGAGACAATGTATTGGAAAGGAGGAATGTAGTAAGATTTTCCGTCTGAACATTTCATTTTGAAGGCCTTACATGTACAAATGTCCCGTCTTATACAATTTTCATACAAATGTACATCAATGAAGCCGAATTTTCGATTGTTGATTGATAGTTTCCCACGGGACTTTTGCTCAACCTTAAACAATATTCATGATGTGGAGATTTTCTGTCTGGGCAAACTATTACCAAAAGCTTTATGAACTGCCATCATTAAATTTTCCAAAAGTTGATAGATGATTTCTTCGACGATTCATGTGGAACAGTCCGCCATGTTGGATGGACTTCATCAGGAAGGGTTACAGATTAATGTCCGGAGTGAGGGATGTGTTAGATTAACAGCTCCAGTCCATTATCCGCACTAATCAGCTCCTGAGCTGCCGGTGAAGAGCCTGCTGAACTGTAGCCCGAATGTTGTGGGTAATGGATTTCCCATTAAAAAGTGATTGAGATGTCGATACTCCTACTTGCTGATGGATGGCACCGTTGGTAGTCGTCTCCACCAAGGCTTGTCTGTGTCTGTGAGTGACAGAGGACTTTCCCGATCCATACTCATGCATACCCATCCTTGTTTAAGGGAAACTGCCTGTCCCTGGTGGGGAGAGTGACCTTGGATAACCTACCTTCATTTGCGATCTTCTACTGGAGAAGATCACAACTTATACTTCTTGTTTCTGGATTTGACAAGTTTTCATCAATGTTACAGTCTTTTACAAAATTTCACTGAATATCCTACCAATTCTGTGCTTAATGATTATGCTGTACAGAAGACCAATCACTGAAAGTTGTTTGTGTCTTTTTTCATCTTCACACAGGGAAAGCCCAAGCTTAAGGCCATTTTAAAGAATCACATCATTGTCAACAATAAGGTAAGTACAACACTTCAACTTATACTGTGATTGCCAGGTTAAGCTTTTTTTCTACCTTCCCACAGCCTGCCCCTTCAATATATCAATATATTTCTCCCTTTAGAAACAAAATTAAGAGTTGTCCAGATCTAAATGGTCAGAGAAGTTCAAGATGAATCGTGATAGCCAAAAAAATGAAGGTTGATGATGAAGGAATGTAAGGAAACCTTCCATGAATAGCAAAGTGTCCACGTCGTCACGTTTCGGTGTAATTGTATTCCGGGTCAAAGCCAGGGGCAAGTAGATGCTGCCCTATCGATTGCCTAATCCAGTCTCTATTTAATATTCTCACCCCTCTCTATGGGTATGGAAGTGTGGTATTGGCAATTTTCCTTCAGAGGGAGGGGAACCGACAGGAGTATGACAGGGCATTTGTCTTGATGTTCCCAGCGATTGATAGTGTGATAATGCAGTCAGCTGTGCAGAAAGATAGATGTACGAGAGAACTCCGGAGGAAAGGCTGGTGCCCTTTAATTTTGGGAACCAATCTCCTTTGACGTACCTGCAGACACTTTGAACTTTTGAACAGTAGAGACAACAGCTGATGACTTCATACATACAGAAGTTACTGGAGGATAAAGACAGAAAATGAAGTCTCAAATGCTGTACAGGAATGACTAAAAGTTAACCAGGTTACTCAAAAAGTTAACTGAATTGGTAAAAAAAAGTGATTGGAAAGGCAAAAAGTTGCAAGCAGGCAGAAAAGGTTTCAAACAAGCATCTCAGTCACAGCTTTGGCCTTGAAGTATAACAAAATCATTAAAAGACAATTACACATTGACATAAACAAATTGTTCAATGAGTTAAGATGACATCCTAGTGCCAGCTTGATTAATGAACACATTGTGCAAAACTATGACTGTGATACGTATTGTTCTGTTATTAATTGCTTGCCATCACAGTTTGACAACGTAACAGATTGCCATCCTGTTTGCCTGTAGCCTTTTAGTTATGAACTTGATTGCAGAGCGATGCATGCAATCTATGTTATAATTAGACTACATGGTTATGATATAATTAGGATTATGTAACATCTGCCCTTTCTTTCATGTACATGCATTTGTCACATAAGCACAATGATCCATCATGCCAGAGTGAAGTGATAAAGATTGTAATTAGCCATCCCGGTTGTCTGTGATTTGTCAAGATCAAAAACTAATTTGGAAATAACTTTTGACAAATGAATAGATTGGAATTTTGGGACTGCAATGGATTGTGCAATTATTTGAATTTGAGATACTTAGGTTACTTGATGAATTGTAGTGAAAGTAAGAAAAACTCAGGATGAAAAAGACTCTTTGTCATCCAGACTTTTCTTTTTTCTTTCTATTTTTTTTCAAATCATAAAAAAGTGAAGTGGCAAGTCTGATTACCAAGAAATTGAATTGACATGAAAGTTCATCTGTGTTGGTAGTTAATGTTTAAAGGTAAAACTTTCGTTCCAACACAAAAGGCAAATCAGTAAACCAGTCACTCTGACCCAGTGAGACTGAGAAAGACCAGAGTGATTGGTCGAAAGCTCTGGTTGGAACAAAAGTTTTTCCTTTAAACAAGAAATTGAATTGATGTTGGCTGATGATTGTGCTTATCTTTCCCGGCAGATTGAAGTTCAAGACTTGATCTTCATGCCGAGATTTACCACCTTGGAGAACATGGCCATTACCGTCTCAGTAACCGCCCAGGTGAGTTGCACTCCTCAAGATGTTTGTATCCCTCCCTAGATCCTTTGAGTTTCAAAGATGACTGGATTTCTGGTCCTGTGTCTTATACAACCTTTGAGAAGCTTAGTTGTATGTGTAGGTAATGACCCGACTCAGTAAGCAAAGAAAGCTCAGACTATTACTTTTTTAAGAAACTGAAAACTTAAGACACCAGGTGTTCCAAGTATATACATGATGATTAGACCATAACGTTTTTCAGGCCCAAGGCATGCGTTTCAATGCCTTCATGGGCAAGACTGTATAAGCAATCATTGCCATCATAAAGTATAAAAGATCATATAAAGTGTTATGTTGGTAATATCTGATTTTTCACAGTTATCTTCTCAGTGCGCTTCCCACATCCACTAACTTTAATGTGGAGACACGGCCCATAAATGGAACTATTTACGGATAAACCCGCTCAGGTCGAACGACCCCCTTTCCAAGACGAGGTTATTTGTCCACAAACTGTGTCGTCCCGAGCCTCACATTAGCAAGCCGTTACCCCATCATCCCGGCATGGGCGGTGGATATCGCTCTAATAACGCAGGATTAATGCTTCTCATTCAACCTCCCTTCCCATTGTGAATGTCGAAGGTCCTCTAATGTCATCATATATATACCAAGAGGAAGGTGTAATAAGCAAGATGAGTCAGGCGTAACCAAGTGAGGCAGTGGGAATGGGCAGTGGGGGGAGTTTCGTGTAGAGAGGCTAATCAGTGACATTAGGCAGATTGGTATTCATGGTCGCACCACGGCCTGCCTTGTTACTGGGGTTAACGCTGCCGGTGTGTGTGTTTCTTGTGCAATTAGTTGTGTTTGGAAATCCTGACAAGAGTTTGCAGAGTTTTTTTAACTTTGCAAACTTTTGTCAAAAGCTGCTGATCCATGTTTTTCATAGGTTCAACAAGAGCCAAAATGTTTAACATTGCTTTTTGCACAATGAAAGTCATTTAAAAGAGTTACACATTGTGAATCTGCAATGTTGCTGCTGTGTGTTTCTCAACAAACTACATGTAGCTGTGTATTCTCTTACTTTGTATAGGTTTGACCATGGTATACACATACAGTGTAATTTGTACATATTTTTCTGGAGCCACATAAAATCATATTACCAGTTACTGGACTTATAGCAGCATGAATTGGGGTCAATTCATTGCTGTCAGTTTAGTGTATACAATGAAGCAGTGGAGTTCATATTGTTTATATAGTTATCTTCATAGCTACATAGTATAGACAATAAAAGGATATATGTAGACTGTATACTACCTATGTAGTCAATAAGAATATATATGGACTGCATACTAGTAGTTATAATGACAATAAGAACATATATAGACTGTATAATAGCTATATAGACAATAAGGATTCATATTGTTTTTACAACTGCTCTTGTCTTCTGTATATAGATTTATTGTCAATATTCACAAAATGTAGTTACATAACAAACTGTACAAGGATTTTATCTTTGTGTTTCATGGTGCAATAAAGCAGCATATGTATGATATTAAGAATACATATGGACTGTTTACTCTCTACATAGACAATAAAGATTCATACTGATTTTTTTTGCTGCTGTATTGTCTTCTGTATGTAGTTTGCACTAAATGTAGTTACATAACAAACTTTTTTTGTGTATTTTAGGGTGCGATAAAGCTGGACGGCAGCGCCCGCGTGTACCAGACGGACATCGCGGCGAGTAACGGCTACGTCCACAGCGTCGACAAAGTCCTCATCCCCGACGCCATCAAGCCGCTCTTCAACCACCGCTGTGATGTCATGTTGTACGACGTAGTGGCCGTGAGTAAGAAGACGACTTGTCGCACATGTAGCATTTTTAACATCAAAAGTTGGGCTACGCAAATCATTTTCTTCGTTCGTGGACATTTTTTTGCCTTCTACTTGCTGGCTAACAGTTATCAAAACAAATTTAATGCCAAAGGCTTGTGAAGTAGGGAGAGAGTTGAGTAAGTCAGTACAAGACAGTCAAAATTGAGTTAAACTAAGCCTGCTAATGGAAGGTAGTTAAACACCAGTATACTAATGGAAGGCATATTCAGCACCAAGGACAGTATTAAGAAGACTACTTGTCATGCAAATTTGGTGCAGAATGGCTCCATCAAGAGAGAAAGGTCAAGTAAAACAATGCAAGAATGTAGAAGTCAAGATAAACTAAGCCCACTGATACAAGGCATGTTCAGGACCAAGGCCAGTGCCACTTGGTCAGCATGAACAGATTTCTGAGTGCAATATACACACATACATCCGGTGTGAAAAAAAGCCAACTGCTGCATGTCAGGAACCCCCGCAACGGTATGATCATTGACACTACCACTACAAAAGTGCCTTGCATGCAGATCTATTAGGCAGCCTCTGTTCACGAACTGAAGGTGATTTTCATGTCTCTTCCCCACAGGGTAGCTGCAGCAGCTGTAGTCAGATAGACCTGAACGGCTGTCCTGAGGGTGCTGAGCCACTGGTGAGTCTTTCACTTGACTTGAATGCCACATTTAGCTTCAGTTGACACTTCAGCTATTCTTCCTATGGTCCTCACATCAATATTATTATACATGATACATGTACTGTAAATCACTTCATGTTCGTGGTTCTTAGAAAAATCGACAGGTTTGCAGAACTATACGTTCGGGGTGGTGGCAGGTGCAGCTAAAAGGAAGTGAAAATTACTTGTTTACTGTAAAGATAAGGTTGCAGTACAGACATGCCAGCAAAAACTGCCAATATAAACATACTGCCCAAAAGTCACGATTTATAGTATCCATCTTGAAAGTAGTAGGCATCCTTCCATCTTGAGAGTGGTGTTGTAGTCATGTGCAATGTCTTGTGTGGCTAATCAGCCCAAACTTGGCATGGCAGTCCCAGACACAAGTGGGACACAAAATATCCCTCTAGTATCAGATATCAGACTAGTATTATCTTTTACAAGCGTTGTAATTTTTGACATGAAGTAGGTTCCTTGCAGTGTTACAGGAGACAAATGTTTCCCCTCGGCATGTTTATGGATTCTCCGTTTTGGGGGTGTACAATGTATATTGCTGTGAGGTTGTTGCTCCATCCCGAGGCGACAGTTTTATTGGAAATGCTTAAGATAAGTAACTGCAGGCTAGGGCAGCTGCTGTAAAAAGTAATACTCTCAATATGAGCTTTTCTGGTTGGAAAGATTGTTTTCATCCGGTTCTACCCCTATTCATATTGTGTCAAGGTTGTATTGATAGTATGTCAAGTTTTTTTTGCTATTTTAGATTCTTCTATTACACCAATCTGGATCGATCTATCAACTTGAAGTCAATGGACGTAAAAAGTTGTGGTGCATGAAAACTTATGCATGTACATGTATACTACCGGTTCAATTGTTACAGCTGTTCTGATAATAATATCAGCTCATAACTTCTTGACTCCAGAGAAATTTTACAATAAATATAATACATATTTCGTAACCACCTCGACATACATTTTGTACATGTCTCTGTGATGGGAATTTGCATTCTTTGTAGTGAGTGTCATCAATATTCCCTTTACCAGGGATGGTTATACAAATGTAGGGGCACCAATCTGGCCCTCCATTTCAGCCTAATGTATGCCATAGCTTGCATTTTGGTGAAGGTTTTCTTTGTCCACCCGGTGACATTATCGGTCCATTTCTCTCCCTGCCTGCCTCCCATTCCATAAGGCTGTTATTTAATATGTCCAGAAAATGGAGCATGTTCTCATTGGCAGGCCCGTATCATGGCCGTTGAGCGGAATGATCCGAAGGGCTGTCGTTACTGAATATGGCCTGTGTAGGTAGACCCATGGGACGGGTTACTGTTGCACGGTTGCATGGTTATAGCTCTACTGTCATGGTGGCTTGCCTGCCTCAGAAGTGGGCAGAATACTGAGAGGGCTGTCTGTACAAATGTACTTAGTCTTGAACTGCTTCACAGGAGATATTCAATAGGTGGAGATATTTAATAAGTTAATAAGTGCTGAATGAATGTAAATGCTAACAAACTTGCTTGGGCCAAATTCAAAAGGATTCAATCTTAGGGTTTCTTTTACATAATACATGTACATGTAATTATGTGGCAACAAGGCAATCAGAGATTGCAGATTTCACCCTCTTCCGCCATACTGTTCGTTAGTTAGCCAAAAACACACACAGATGTCAAAAACAATAAATCACTTCCTTGGAGTAGAACTGTAGAAGTAACGTTGACAATTTTCCTCTTCTTGTAGTACTAGTATATCATGTTAGAGTCATGTTATTCAAGAAGTCAGATTTCAAATTAGCATTTATCTAAGTCCAAAATGTAGAAGTCTTAAATCCTGAATGTTTGAATACATTGATTTTTGTGCATAAGCATCCGCCAGCATCTCTGTGTGGACTACTTCGTGATGCAAGAAGTCATTACGATTTACAACCTGCTGTTCAAGCGCCTTGAAGTCCTAACAGTCGGAAAATGCTGACCAAGGCTGAAGCGAATGGCTCTGCCTCGGGGGAAGCAGTCACACTGGTGACACTTAGCTATGGACCATAGACTGTTTGTCTGGAGGGAGTCATTACTGACTGGGGTGCCATTTGACAAGCTGTGGTGTTATGTCGGTCATAAAGCTTGGATGTGCAAGGGATGCATTTTTTTTCAAACCTTTGGCAGGCTGAATTTACATGTAATTCACACCACTGGCAGAGAGGGAGAGGGGGACTCTGAAAAGATTATTGCTATTCACTTTATGAAGATCACAGTGAAAGAAAAATGGACACATTCTCATTACTAAATGGTCTTGGTGGTGTCATGTACAGAAAAAAGAAAGTTGGCAAATTATTTGTCCACGGTAATAATAAGTTCACGGTTCAAGTGGTCACGAAAACTGCAACATAAAAGTGCCACTAAAGATGTCAACTGAAGAAAACTATTATAGATACAAGTATGGTAGTGCAAGTGGCCCATACTCCTTGCATGTTACCCATTTGATGATAAAGCAAAGATGATAGCAAATCAATTGGAAGGATGTGGCGAATTAGCTTCAGTGCAGAAACCATGTCAACTGTGACAAGCTTGCGTGAATATAGTGTAACATTTATTTGTACTTTGCTACTTCAGGAAATCGTGGAGCGTGGATGTGTGTTCTGGACGCTGATTTGGAACATCCGTTTCCCCCATACTGGCTGTTCACGCAAGTGCAACCAGACTGTCATGGTAGGTGATAGTCCTCTGGGACAACACAAACTTTACTGACTTGTTTATTGCAATGTTAAGCCATTTTCCATTGTAATGATTTCTGGAGATTTTCATTTGCAAGGGCCATAAATGCAGTTGTAAAATATGATATTAACTGTAAATTGTTTATTGTGATTTTAAGCCATTTGCCCTAAGGCACTGCTTTCAAAATTTTCATTTTCTGGCATCATAAAATTAATGTACAATATAGTAAAAACGTGATATTCAATGACCCAAAACTTGAGGCAATCAGTAACTGATGAAAAGGACAAGGCTTCTATCCCTACATAAGACTTACATGTGACTTGCTATAGGTGCACGTTTTTCCTACTATTGCATGCGAAACAAGTTTTGTACAAAATATTCTGCCCTAGCCAGTTGCTGTAATGCTTAAGCAGTCTAACTTTGCAAGAGCTGGACCATTAATATAAAAAGTTGACCCATTACAGCAGTTTGGTGCCCTCAGTCAGGCTGCGCCTTGTAAACCCTGTTATAAGCCCTGTAATGTGCGGGCTGTAATAAAGGTGTTAACGCACCAAAAAGTCTGTATTACTAATGTATAATCCTTCATCTGTTGTCACCCAAAGGTTTATACATGCATGTTTTATGTATCCATTATGTGGGTTTATGCTTTCTTTACAGCTTCCCGAATGTTGTGAAGGGTTTTATGGAGAGTCGTGTCTGCCATGCCCCGGTGGTTACCGCACACCCTGTAATCTTCATGGACAGGTAATATATATGTATGACTGATTCTGTAAAGGCCTCCCTTTTACTGAATTTTTAAAGGCAGTCTGTTTGGATCAAGGATTTAATGACATGACATGAAATGATAACCATTATGATGATTTTGCTTCTACCTGTTGAAATTCAGTGGCCGAAATACTTTTTTTCCGTGCTCTGCAATATTGCAGAAGAGTCAAAATTTTGTTCTGCAATTTGGAAATACTTTCTGCAAAAACATACTAAAACATACTAATAAAAGACACACAAAAAACAGTTACTTAAGTAGCTGTATATAATTTTGGTGCTACCTAAAATTGTCAGACTATTACGTTTCTCATCAGTGACACTAAGAGACTGAAGGAGAACTGCAGGTTTATAAGCAAAAACTATTGATTGATATGCAAATAAACTGAAGACAAATTTTTGGAACTCAAAAAGGAAACAAAAGATAGACAAGTCAAGACAAGGACGATGCAAATTAGTGAAGAAGTTCCTGTTGTTTCAGAACAGGAGCTCAAGTGTGGTCTGTCCTTGATAGGACCTGAGAGTGCTAGTTTGCTAAATTGAAAACTATTGAATCTGGAGTCTATTTTTCCTTCTGCAAAATTGCAGATTGTATAAATTTTTCTTCTGCAATCTTGAAAATCTATCTGCAGATTGCAGACTGCAGACAGGTATTTCGAACACTGAAATTGTAATGATTTTTTTGCACACGTTTGTATGATACACTGAGAGTTAGGTTTCTTTAAACAGCTAAGTTTTATTGTCCAAAGCTCTGTGTAGTTACTCATATACTCAGTCAAGTGAGGAAATACATTTTGTAGGTCTGTATAAAATGACGTTTCCAAGGGCACAACATTGGGGCCTGGTAGGGCTTTGAACCCAGACCATTTAGATTCTAAGTCAACAACCCCAACCACAAGACGACCTTGCCACCTTGATTTAAACACGACCATACCGAATAATGTGTACCTTTGCAGCCAGCCGTAACTACATTGCCATATCCCATGATCCAATGCAGTAAAAACAACCTGGCCTTACAGCGACATAAACACCGATGTTTGACGCCACGGTTTGATAGGAAATCACTAAGGGCCGGCCCGCCTCTCAGATATTGATGAAAAAAGACCCATTTAGTCGTCCAGCCTTCACAAATCTTCCGTCCCAAGTACCGGGATGTTGGTACTTAAGTTTGTCGTCAAGGTTTACGGGCTGGTCAAATGATCAATAAATCCTTACGTGTCTCCTTATAGTAATGAAACTTAATGAATTTGTCATTAAGGTCAGCACAGTTGGATACCAGTGGCCACCTGTCCAGCTTGGCCGTAATTTTTACAGTGTTTAAGGCCGTAATCATGATTTAACGTTTTCCCCAAACACCAGACGTCGCGTTTGCTATAATTACTAGATGTCTTCAGACTGGAGACAAGATCGTACTTAAACAAAGTTTTAGTGAGTGTTAACTGCTTTCTTTCAGGAGAAAATGTGTCTATATAAAGCCCCATTAATTTTCTTATAATTAAACCTTTGTATATACTGGATAATACTTTTAAATCAATGATATAATATGCATGTACGAAGGGTAGAAATGCACAAAAATATTTCCAGCCTGTGTACTGTGGACATTTGTCTTGGTTATTGCACTGTTTTGATCTTGTCTGCGTTCCCTCAAGACAAACGTCAAGCACTGAAATATTATGTTCGCTGTCTATTACATACATTTGTCACATTTAAACACAAGAAACACAGAGCCAGGCTACAAATTCAGCAGAAGGAGATTGTGTCTTCCTCACACTTGCTAAGCTTTTAAATATTCCTAGCATACTTAGTGTACATCTTGGGCTTCAGATTGACAATTTGAGCCATTATTTATCATGATGAGCAGCAAAAGTGAGCTCAGAAGACATCTGTGAATCATTTTATTACCATACATGCAGTACCATGAGGATTGTGATTCTTACGACGATGGTGTCTTAACTCACACGAGTGTAGACAGCGGACTGATAATGAGATTTTTCATTAGTATAAAAGCTTCCGTGTGCCAGCTGTGGCCCACAGATACAAACCAAAACGAGTCTTAAGAAATAACTAAATGGCGCCACATGAAAGGAAAGCTGGGCTGACATCTCAAGGTAAACCTTTATAGATCCCTCCCCTTGTGTTTGTAGTACATGTACATGTAATAACCTGCTTGTGTGTTTTATGATACAGTGTAATGGCGGCATCAATGGCAACGGCACCTGTGTCTGTGATCCTGGGTTCATGGGCACAACTTGTGAAATCTGCCAGGATAGACTCCTGTATGGTGTCAACTGTGATAAAGGTACATGTGTATGCTGTCTTCCATCCCGGTCTTAGGGCTGTATAAAGGCAGGAAAGTGGCTTTATACCATGAAAGTTCACCTGTGTTGGTAGTTACATATTTGAACGTAAAACTTGTGTTCCAACACAAACGGTTAATGTTCTCACCTAGAGAAAGAAGAAAAAGCTCTGGGTGAGAACATTTACCTTTTGTGTTAGAACAATTATTAGTTTTACCTTTAAACAGGAAAATTGATTCTTAGGACACCAGCTAAGTAATGTAGTAATTTCAAGAGTCATAATATATTGTGTAATACATGGGTTTAGCTTTGATGTAAATCCCACTTCTGCCCTCTTTATTCTATATTGGTACTTTACAATTTGTGTATTTATGATGCAACATGTTAAAAGTCTAGACATGAGCTGCTCTATTTGCAGTCTTTTACTGTTTACCTTGACTGTATATTCCTGGAAACTCATACAGCCATGGTCCATTTGCTACACAAAAGCCCCTTGCACATCATGTAGTTTATGATATACTAGATAAACCCATTCAAATGGAAATTATAGAGATATGTACAATGTATTGGTATAGTGCTCAATGTTTTATGTACATGTAGTCTAGACTCATCATCTTCAGTCTCATTGTTAGACTGTACTGTACAGTCCTGGAAATACAAATATGTCTCAGGTTATATCAAAGTTTACCACCATGTTGAACATGTTTTTGATCAGAATTTGACTGTCTTCACTGCGTGAGTGTAACAGAGGGCCGAACGGAGCCAAACACATGCCATCTCAATGTTGGACTGTACTTTTCGATCAGTCCTGGAAATACAAAATATGTCTTAGGTTATCACAGTGTTGATTATATGTTTTCCCCCTTTGTGACCAGAATGTGACTGTCTGCACGGTGAGTGTAACGGAGGGCCGAACGGAGACGGCACCTGTAAGCCGAACACGTGTGGTAGCCTAGAGTCTCAATGTTGGACTGTACTTGTCAGTCCTGGAAATACAAATATGTCTCAGGTTATCATGGTTTAAGTTTACCACAGTGTTGAATGATATTATTTTTCCCCTTTGTGATCAGAATGTGACTGTCTACACGGTGAGTGTAACGGAGGGCCGAACGGAGACGGCACATGTAAGCCGAACACGTGTGAGCAGGGCTGGACAGGGGAGAACTGTGACCAGCCCATCAACCCGTGTGGACCCAACCTGGACGTCTGCCACGAGCACGCACAGTGTGATAACCAGTTTGGGAACATCAGGTGAGAAGGATAGGGCATTATACTTCATGTAACTAACAATAGGCCTGAACTAAAACCAACATAATTAACCTTCTCCTTGTTGCCTAAACCTGTAACCAAGAGAAGTGGTATGTACATGTATGTCTACTAGCCAAGCTGCTACTTCAGTGTACTAATTAATAAGGCTGAAAAGGACTGGTGTTGCCTGGACACTGTATTTGCTACAAAGCCTACAATTTCATAAGAAGCTTACTGTATTCCTTTAAGTTGTTTCTTTCTTGATGTGTTGTCATTTCAGGCCTCTGGGCATCTTTATATCAATAGCGATATTGAAGAAGAGCTTTGTTAGCTTGTTTGACCAAGATGTTTTGTTGTCCACAGATGTGTGTGCAAATCAGGATACACAGGGTCTGGTCTAGAATGTATCGAGATGAACCCGTGCCGCTTGCCTGACAGAGGAGGATGTCATCCCGACGTATGTACCACTTGCTTGTTGTTTGTATCATTACACACGTTTAGCTTAGAGTATAGTGTACATGTATTTCATGAGTAGCTTTTGTGTGATACATTGTAGTGCAGTTTGCTTGTAGTTTGTATCAGTTAACATGTACAAATGCACTCTTTATGGGTAGTTTTAGTGTGATAGTTTGCCATTCTTTCATTCTGTAGCCCATACCTAATATTCCAGATTGTTGCTTGACTTTTGTGCCTACAGGAAGGGTATCTGGTGAACGATATCTGATATCTACAGGAATTGTGTTTAACACGTCTTGTCTCTCACACCCAGGCCACCTGTATCAAGGTTGGACCAGGCACCAATGTGTGCCAGTGTGATGAGGGCTGGGAAGGTGACGGCATCTCGTGCATCCCTGTGGACAACTGTCGCTCCCTGAACAGGGGAGGGTGTGACCCACATGCTGACTGTATCTTCACTGCACCAGGGCAGGTCAGTACTGTTGGTAATATGCAATAAAGTTTATTGTCATTGTCAGTAAGGAAATTGAACCTCAAAGAATACCCTTTGGTACTTTCTATAAGACTGATGTTTGTCTGGTATAGTGTATAAACTTAGTGTACACACATCCCGTACACAGTTTGTTCATTATCTCTGACGTGTTGTGTATTATTGATTTGCATTTCTTGATAAGCCACCCTTTCCTTTAATCTACACAGAAAGAAATCTCACCTGGCCTGAATGGCACATGTACATGTAACGCTAGATTATAATTCCTATTTGTATGTATCTCAGAAGCACCAAGATTAAACATGAGCATGTTAAGTGGAAAAATGTATCATTTATTGGCCCATGGGAACTTGCCTTTATTCCATGACTTATATCTCATATTAGCCATGTTATGCTTTGTGACTACAAGTGTGCATATGCTTGCATATAAGGAAGTGTCCCTGTTTTCCAGAATGACTGCAGGTGTATGCGAGGTTTCCGTGGTGATGGGAAAACATGCACACCCATCAACCCCTGCCTGGAGAACTTCGGGGGATGTCACAGTCAGGTGAGTGGTATTTGAAGAGCAACCATGGCTTATGGAAGACATGGATGGCTTCTGAAATTTTGGTGAATATTTTAAGACTATGAAGAGTTTTTACTACTAGAGGGTTCTGGGAACCTTCTGGAGAATTGGCCATTTCCCTTATTGACACAGCATATTCATTGCAGTGTCTTACATTATACTAATCTAGCAAATGCACTTTCAAAAATTAAGATTTTCTTCAATTATGGTGTCAGTTGTTAGTCTGCAAGTAATTTTTTATCAAAAAGGGTATGAAGTAGAAAAAACACTGTGTAAAAAGTGGAAAGTAACAGTAAAGAGAAATAATGTAGAGTTGGTAAATTTCTTGTTCATTGGTATGAATGTGTTTCTTGTCGCTGTTTTTTGCAGGCCGTGTGTACGCAGACAGGCCCGGGTACCAACAACTGCACCTGTGTGGACGGGTACATCGGGGACGGGCGCAGGTGTTACGGCACACTGCTGGTGGAGCTGACTGGACGACCAGAACTGTCCACCTTCAGTAATCTCATTGCTGTAAGACCATGGGCTCTTTACATTCCTATTTCTTCTTTACTATTGGTAATGAATGAAGACCTTTATTGTAGAATAAAGAGAGTCTTTTTACACAATCAAGAGGTTTAATCAGCCGACATTTGAGTGACCGTCCGTCACCTTCCTTAGTGACTTACCAACCTGATGAAACTTATTTATGGACCTTCATTGCACTTTTGGGGGGCACTAGGGTAAGTACAGGTCACAAAAAATGTGTGCAAAGTCGATAAATACAAGATATATTACCCAACATTGAATAAATTCAACGTGTAAAGATACGCATTTCTACAAAACCCTTGGTTACTTAACCTTAAGCATGCTAAGGTTTGGCACTTACATGTATATATAGGTTGTAGTTAGGCAATGGGTGGTGAGAAGGTTAACCAACAAAATTGGCCTATAGCATGCAGAAATCTAACTCTACACTGTTGACAGTATGCCTAACAACCCTGTGCTGTTCCTGTTGTAGATAGCTGGCCTGCAGAATCTATTTTCTGGCCCGGTGATGAAAACGGTGTTTGCTTTCACTGACGACGCCTTCCTCAAGCTGTCTGAAGAGGACAAGTCCAGGTGGTGGGAGGTCGACAACATCCCCTTCCTCATTAAGTACGCAAACAGATTTTTTTCTCAAGTCTGTTAAAAAAAGTACCTGAATAAAATAAAAATAGTCCCTGAAACACATGAATTTCAACAGGAAATTTTAAATCTGTTCAGATCATGTAACCAATTGGAAAAGAACACACGATTGGAAATTCCTGAACTGTTTCCTGTGGAAATTCCTGAACTGTTTTGAGCTAAGTCAAGTAAACCTTGAACACCCATCATGAACTCAAAAACCCCACAACCCAGCACCCTGATATTTAACCCTACTGAACTAAATAATTTAGACAATAAGTCACAAATTTCCCCACTGGATCCTGATACAAACTTTCTTAACGACTTTTATACTTCTATAAATACATCTTCTCAATATTATACTGCTGAATCCTTTAATAAATCTTGTAACATGTCCTGTTGTAACACTCTATCTCTGTTCCACTTAAATGTACGAAGCCTTCCTTGCCATTTTAATGAGCTCAACGAATATCTCTCCTCCCTGCACCAAAATTTTACAGTTCTTGCAATAACAGAAACATGGCTAACAGATGATATCACAGAAAATTATAGTATACCTGGTTATAATAGTATACATCACTGCAGAAAGAATAGATCTGGAGGGGGGGTTTCACTATACATAAGAAACGACGTATACTATCAAGAACGACCTGACCTAGAATTTATCATCGACGACACAGGCACAAAGAGTATATCCATTGAAATCATTCCAAGTAACCCGAAGGAGAAAAAACAATATTGAGCTGTGTGTATCGCCCACCAAATACCGACATTGCAGAATTCAATGAGCGCATAAAGGAATCTATGAACAATATTAATAGGGAAAGAACAACTTGTTACATTATTGGTGATTTCAATATTAATCTGTTAAACAACACTAACCAACCCACTACTGATCATGTAAATGAAATGTTCTCATCTGGCTTTTACCCACTTATATGCAAACCTACCAGAATTACACCTTACTCTGCTACCCTGATAGACAACATTTATACAAACTCTGTTAGCAACAATATCAAAGTTGGCATCCTCATCACTGACATATCAGATCACTTCCCAATATTCCTTACATCCGATTTAAACGAGCCAGTCAGGCAGACAGACAAAATATCTTATCGTCAAGTTAACACAACTAACATTCAGAAATTTACACAATCCCTATCAGAAATAGTATGGAGCGACGTATTAAACGAAACAGACACAGAAAAAGCATATAATCAATTTTTTGAAACATACGGATCGTTATACGAAAAATGTTTCCCAAAGAAAATTACAAAAATCTCCCAACATTCTCGCAGAAAACCCTGGCTAAGCAGTGGTTTGTTAAAGTCAATACGCAGAAAAAACAAGCTCTTTACTAAATATATCAAGAACCCGACACCCTTAAACCACAGTATCTATAAAAAATACCGGAATAAGTTAAATCATCTCCTAAAAACTGCAAAGAAGGAATACTATCACAGAGAGTTCAATGAAGCCACTAGTAATATAAAACAAACATGGAACCTGATAAATGACGTTTTAAATCGTAATAAAAGTAAATCAGCTGGTCCAAACAAAATACAAATTGGTACCAAAACTACCGAAAATAAAGATGAAATATGTAACGAATTCAATGATTTTTTCATTAATATTGGACCTATACTTGATAGTAAAATCCCAAAAGGAATACAAGACCCTCTTAGCTACATCACCTTACAAGTAAATTCTAACCTATCAACTTTTATACCACCAACTGGTGCTGAAATTACAGATATTATCAAAAACTTAAAAGACTCAGCTGCTGGTCATGACGAAATAAGCCCTAAAGTACTAAAGTCATCACTGCCCTATGTTATTGCCCCTCTAACGCATATTCTGTCTCTATCCTTGCAAAATGGAGTTGTCCCTCACCCACTAAAAGTCGCAAAAGTAACGCCTATTTTTAAAAGCAGTGATCCACTTAGTGTTAATAACTATCGACCAATATCTGTCCTTCCCTGCGTATCTAAGGTCTTGGAAAAACTAGTATACAATCGTCTTCTGAAACATTTAAATCAAAAATAACATCCTATATAAACACCAATATGGCTTCAGAAAGGGCTATTCTACTTCTCTAGCACTCATACACTTAATGGAAAAAATTTCTACCGCTATAGATAACAAAGAATACACTATAGGAATCTTTCTCGATCTATCAAAGGCCTTTGATACAGTTAATCATTCCATTCTACTCAATAAACTAAAACGATATGGTATATGTGACTCCGCAATAAAATGGTTCTCTTCTTATCTATCCAATAGACAGCAATACGTAACCCTTAATGATAATAAATCACAACTTAAAATAATAGAATGTGGTGTCCCACAGGGTTCGATACTAGGACCCCTACTTTTTTTGATTTATATAAATGACCTCGAAAAAGCATCCTCAATTATTTTCTTTATCCTATTTGCAGATGATTCAAATCTTTTTCTTTCAAACTCGAATTTTGATACGCTAGTAAACCTGGCTAACGAAGAATTGAAAAGGGTTATATCGTGGTTTGAGGCAAATAAATTATCAGTCAATGTTAAGAAGACATACTACCTTATTTTCTGTAATAAAAATAAAACCTACAATAGAAGCGCCAAAATCTTTTTAAAAAATGTGACCCTTTCTCAAGAGAGTCAAGCCAAATTCTTAGGTATAATCATTGATGAACGATTAACCTGGAAACCACATATAACTATGTTAGGTAAAAAAATTTCAAAAACTATTGGTATTATTGGAAAACTTAAACATCTTCTTACTCAAAAAACCATTATTACCATATACAATAGCTTAATATACCCATATCTAACCTACGGGAATATAGTCTGGGGATGCGCCTACAAAACCACACTACAGCCCCTAGTATTACTCCAAAAAAGATTTGTTCGTTCAGCCACCGCCGCCAGTTTCCGCGCACATTCTGCACCTTTGTTTACAAAACTTAAGATTTTGAATATTTTTGATATAAACAGACTTCATCTGATGCTATTTACGTTTAAATTCCTTACTTGTTCTCTTCCAGACACATTTAATGGTCTTCTAAATCTTAATTCCCATTTTCATACTTACCAAACTCGACAAAGTGCCCATTTCCATATCCCCCTAGTTAGAACGTACCGTAGCCCAAATGAGTGTAAAATATAAATGTACAACTACTTGGAATAATCTCCCGCTCCACCTAAAATGTTTAACATCAATGATTAGCTTTAAACGAAATCTTAAAAATCACATACTTTTATTTCCCACCGACATTTGATGTCTTATTACTGTGATTTCATCTGTATAAGTTTGAATTTCCGTTTCTTTTTAAAATTCATTTATTGTTTCTTGAGTTATTGCTGTTAACCTATGTTTTAACATATTATTTGTAATTAGCGTTATTTATCAATCACTTTTGTTACTCATTGTTACTATTTGTTTTGTTACCATTATCATATTGATCATATTGATCAAATTTACTAACTACTTATTGTTATTTATTGTTACCATTTGATTTGTCAGTATTATTTCAGTTGTTAACTAATTTTGTCGGGGAAGATCCCAGACAAGCCACTATGGCTTAATATCTTTCCCCAGCATTTTATTTTATTGTCAGTAATATGTTCATTTTATTGTTTTTTTTTTATATATATGCGAACCAATAAACAAACAAACAAACAAACATCTCTGCGGGACATGCAGGTGATTTGAGGTCACAGCTTTTGAGTTTGCTTCTCATCCTACATGTACCTTTGTAGCTAAGATAAAGCTCTATTTTGCAGCTTTACTGCACCATATGACAGCAAATATTGAACTTGAACTGGTCCACTTGGTTTATTCCTCTTTGACTTGCAAGCAACGAATGGCTGTTGTGCAGGGTGCAGGTGAGAAAAGAGTCATTATTTTCACACGGTGTTGTTGTTTGATGACTGCAGGTACCACACAGCCAACAGCAGTCTGACCTTTGATAACCTGACTCAGTACTACCTGGATCAGTCCCAGCCACTGCCAACCCTGCTGCTGGGAACCATGCTTTCTCTCACACAGGACGATGGGGTAGGTAGTATATCTGTTTCAAGTTGTATGTACTGGTGTGCAGGCTGGAATATACCCCTATATTTTACGAACAACTCCTCTTTGTACTTACAGCTGTATAAAATACTGTATACAATATATATGCTGCTTCTCGATCATTGAAATACAGTATGTCTTAATCTGGCTAAAGTAGCATTGATTTAGGATCACTTCTAACCTGACTCCTTTGAGTTTAAGTTCTCACAGGGTGTGAAATGTTTTTTTTTCAGTACTTACTAGTTGGAGGTGCAAAAATCATTGGAAATGAAAGTTTGGCCTCCAACGGGATCATCCATCAGATAGATCAGGTATGGATTCCTGCATTCCTGTTTATTTTTGAAGCATCTGGATTCTTGAATAATTGGCTAGAAATCACTCCATAAGACAGATGGTTTCTGCGTACTAAGGATTTGCATTAAATCCCAATATGGTTGCTTCTTCTGTGTTATGCAGTCCATATGGCACAATATTGGTCTCGTAATTGAGATATTCTAAAACCATTCCCTGGCAATTTTAGCTTAATTTTGTTAGCTCAATGGAGGTAATGTTATGGTATCAATGCTGGTAATGTTGTCATGTTACCCACAATGTTAGAACACATAGATTTAGATTTATGGCAGAACAATTACAATGTACATGTTTGTCTTGAAGAATATTGTATTGGTCAGGTTTACTGTAAGATATTACAAACATCATCAAATACCTGCTGTTACCAAGAGTTAGTGAGTTTAGATATTGTCTGTCCACAGGTGTTGCTGCCCCCAGAGTCAGTACTGCCCACCCTGGCACCACCGAGGCCTCCACTGAGTGAACTCATGGAGGGACTGACGGACTACTCTCTGTTCGCCCACTATCTATCAGTAAGTGTGGAGACATGATACTCTAGGTAGTCTGCATCTCTAATGCCATGGTTTGGAATGCCATGTTATAACTTTATTGCTCAATAATTGCATTTGATGTAACATATGGCAATTTGTACAACAATTAAGCTACAAGTTATGAAATGGTTGTGATCAAAGAACTTTGCTATTCAATATTCATGATATGATATGTATTTCTCCTTCTATAGGAAGATGGCTTACTAGAACAGTTGGAGACGGTGGGACCGTATACTCTGTTTGCACCCAACAATGCTGCAGTTCTGGCTTTCACTCGCAATGGATCAGATCCAAGGGTACAGCAAAATTTAATATTATGTACATATATGGTAGATTTTAACATTAGTGAACACAAGTAACAAAAGGGTCTAGTAAGAATAAGAAACATAATTAACACAGAGTATACAGAGAACAAAAACACACATCTGTACCATGAATTTATCATTACCATGAACAAATAATTCGCCAACTTTCTTTTGTTGCATCTGCCACCACTGCGATTGTATAGTTCCACAAACATGTCCATTTTTCTCTCGAACTTCTGGTGATTTACAGTGTACAAATCATTATCATTACTCATGTCCTGTCCAGTCCAGGTTGGCATTAATGTACCCTTCTCCCTCCCTCCCCCTGCCAGGCATATCTACTGTACATATCTAATGTGCAGTACTGTATATAGTAGAGGGGATTCATTCCTCAAGCTAACCGACATCTCGCACATGCAGTTGTCCCTCAGTAAGACATCTGGAGCCTCATAGTTCCCGTTTACCAAAACCGGTCGTGTGACAGGCTTAATAAAAGTTCTAAACGGGAACTATGTGGCTCCAAATGTCTAAACTGTGGGATGACTGTGGTGCAAGATGTCAGTTAGCTTAGAATGAATCTACTAATATAATACATATCTAATGTGCATTAATGTCCCTCTCCCTGCCAGGCCATCTCCCACAGCATCCTGAGGTACCATATCGTGACCGGGCTGGTCCTGACCTCTGACCGGATCATAAACGGACAGCACTTCGCCACGTCTCTGGGCCATAACTACCAGATAGGATTCGCCCACAGTGGTAATAAGGTGCATTGACTAGGTGATGGGTGGACAAGTCTTTGTTCCAGATGTTTTTATGGTGCATTTTCAGCAGAATCAGTAATACTATATATTATGTTGTCACAAGGCTGTGTATTACATTGTACGTTTTGGCATATATGGAAAAGGTAACACATTGAGCATAATGGTAGTTTGTGTGCATAATGTCTTGTCTTGTTCTAGATCTTTTGTATATTTATTTTGGGTTTCAAGTTTAACTTTCTCCCTGCTGCCTGATCCTATACCCAATGGAGAATTTTTTGGTAGCCAAATTGCCACCTCAGTGTCTTAGAATTTTAAAGTTAATCAAACCTATCCAGTGTACCCTATAGATCTTTATCAATGAAAATAAACACACTGCAAAGCAATATTTTCCTTTTTCCTATGGGGAAAGAAACATAGCAAAAGCTCTCCATGTTAAGCTGTAGCCAAAACTCATAGTAGGTGATTATGTTACATCTGTTCAAGAACTTAATAAGTAGAAGAAGTTTACTTTTAACAAAGGTAGGCAAGGCAAAGGTATCTTGTAATGTTACCTGGGAATTGTCCAAACTGCAATCTGAAGAAACTTCTGCAACCAAGCCATGACTTTATTGCTTTCAAACAGCCGTCTTGGTGGAATTTTCCGGTCGTGAGGAACGGTTATTGCCCTTATCAGTCAACACATGTCCTGCCACAAGATCACCCCGTCGTAAAAGCTTCCTGTAATTACCTTCTCTGTCTTCACGTCCTGCAATAGCAGGGTCGGTACTGGTGGTTAAATGGGCGATTTCCTACCAATGGTATGGACATGGTGTAGGGTTGTATGATTTGGCAGTAGATGGGACTTACTTGGCAGAAAAAAAAATAAGCTGATGTAGGAGAAAGTCTTGCTACAGGAAGGGTTGCAAACTTGCAATGACATCTTCGAGATACTAGTTGTGTGCTCTTGTGACATTGTATCTGTTTAAATCTAAGTTTTAATCTTTGATGTCAATGATGGCATGTTAGTATGTGGGCAGTTTGGTGTGCACAAGTAAAAAATATTGTTGTAAGCTATTGATTCACAGTGTTTTCATTAAACGTGTATATGTGTAGTCCCTGATTTACATACATGTGGTGTTAAATTCTTTCTCCAAGAAGGAGAATTTGTAATTTTGTTTAAGATTTCATTAAAATCTAATAAAAATTTCTGTAGTATGTATCAAGTATTACTGCCATATGTAGGTATTGAAAAATCAAAATTGAGTTGCTACAATAGTTGTAAATTGGTGACTTGATTTGTACATATCTAATGTGGTGCTTGCTTGTTTGTTTGTTTGTTTGTTTAGCTGCTGGTGAACAGAGAGCCGGTGGTCAGCCCTGATATGCTGACACGTGGGGGCGTGGTCCACGGGATGGGCACAGTACTGAGAGTCAGGAGGAACAGGTGTGACTCCAACATCACCACTACCATACAGGTGTGTTCTCAGGTGTTTCTTTGTGTTACCGTCACTGTACATAGTTTCTTAGACACCAGGGCAACACCAATTTCTGTATTTTTATCAACTATTGTTTCCAGGAAAAGGTAGAGAAAGATGAGGAAAAGCATTCTCAAGCTTACTACTGGTATGTACATGTAGACTGACATTAACCTTGCTTTCTGTATTTCCAGGGTAACTGCTACAGCTGCCAGTATCCACCCGTGTGCCCACCAGGAACCAAGCCACTGGTAGGTCAAACATTTAATACTCATGGATGCAGTTTATATTTTAATAATTTGGTCTATTTGTTGCCTTTGGTATGCCTTACTTCAATAGTTCAGGCTTTATGGATGAAGATTGTATTACGACATATTTGGTCTATTTGTTGTCCTTGTATTTATACTGTATGTTCTGGCGTTTTTCTGTGTTTCTTCAGAAAAGGCCACGGGTGTCCAACTGCATCTACGTACACATCGTGTTTGGGGTGGCCAGAAGGTCTCTGGGCTGCTCTGCCACTTGTGTCAGGACAACATTTGTAAGTCCAGAAATATTGTTTTCCTTCTTCTTTTACAAACAGGTGATAATTAAATCAGTTATGCAGTACTCTCCAAAGTTGTATTCGTTTTTTAGATCAGATTATTTGCATACTTAGGAGAACAGTGACCTGAAATATCCATTGAAATTTTTCTGTGTCTTTTCTGTGCCATCACAGAGTAGGCAGTGCTGCAGTGGCTACTATGGGATGCAGTGTGCAGGTAAGTTGCATGTGAAGCATCTCAAAGTAGCAACATTGTTTTGTGTAGTGTTCTTACTAGAAAAAGACTTTTTAGGCTTAAGTCTTAATGCATGAAAAACATTTTACTTAAAGTGACATAAGTCTTTAAAAGTATTAAGCAGGTATATGTAATTCCTAATGATGAGGATGAAGATGTCATGAGAGAAGACAGATGGATTTCATGTGGATGTATTCCCCCAGCATGCCCTGGGCCAGTAGATGACCCCTGCTATGGCAATGGTGAATGTGTGGACGGGCTGGAGGGGACGGGAGAGTGCAAGTGTCAGCCCAACTTTGGGGGCACAGCCTGCGAGAACTGCATACCAGGCAGATATGGGGAGGACTGCGGACAAGGTACAGATGGCCTGTATTTGTTCGCAAACTTGTTAAAATGCAAATTTGATGTAGTTCAGTAACAGTGAGCACTTTTAATGACATTGTGTTTTCTAGATTTCTAAACGAAGCTGATGTGTTACGAACAAGAGCAGTTATACTGGCTATACAGAATGATACAGATACAGAATGATTAATGGTGTACAGTTGAGTTCACAATATCATTTGAAGAGCATGCCATACATTACTATATACTGTACCATGGTATTTTTGTTGTAACATACCCTCCTTTTCCGTAGTGTGCACCTGTGTGAATGGCACGTGTAATGAAGGTGTCAAAGGAGATGGAAGCTGTACCTGCAATGTGGGGTGGAGAGGACCTCACTGTGATGAAGGTGGGTGTAGAGTCTATCTGTTACACAGATCTACATTTGCCTCCCGTTCAACTGTTTCCAATTAGCTATGGTATACAATCATGAAGCTGGCTTAAGCTGTGTGAGGTCTGATGATGATCAAAAGAAAAATACACATCCATTTATTTCTACGCTAATGAATACTGCCATGAATTCATGGAAACTCACACAAGCCAACTGCCGCACATTTAAGTCTGGAACAAATTAATATCTTACGTATTTTGTTTCATTCAGACGTTTTATCTAGAAAGAGTTTCTGCTAATTTTTATATCTTGTCCGTTATAACAGCTGTCACAGGTGATCAGTGTGCAGGAACCTGCCACTCAAGTGCCAAGTAAGTGGAACAGTCCACCATCGACCACCTTTGTTCCTTTTGATTCTGATGCTTTGGAATATTGCTGAAGGACATGTGCATGTACATCGTAAGGCATAGAAGTACTCAAGATCATGTTACTTTATTATATGGAGATTTTTCCTTATTTCCAGCTGTGTGGGATCTGGAGATTACGCTCGCTGTATCTGTGCTGCAGGCTTCACAGGAACTGGACAGCAGTGTTCAGGTCAGGATAGTCTACTGCATGCCACTTTTCCCACTTTCATTCTTATCTATCTTACTTTTAAATCGAAGTTAATACCATTTTGTAACGGAGTGATTTCATTTCTCAATAACAAGTCATGTTGCATTTGCCTAGTAATAAAAATTGTCCCATCGTCACTCCATAGTGATCAACCCTTGTGAGGTGAGCAATGGTGGTTGTTCTGAGCATGCCCAGTGCATGAGGACCACACCAGGAAACAGGAAGTGTACCTGCCTGGATGGATACACAGGAGACGGTGTCATCTGTCTGGGTCAGTCATGTGTTTTTCTCTTTTTTTTTCTTGCCTTTGTGCTGGGTAAAGAATTATATAGCAAGCATTTTGGAAGCTGTTATCACAATCTTTCTGCAATTGTTTTGCAGATGACTCACTGATAGAAAACATTACATTGTTTATCTGACTTCTTTCAACAGAAATCGATCCATGCCAGAGTGATAATGGTGACTGCCATGAAAATGCTGTGTGTCTGCACACTGGGCCAAACATGGTAAGATAACACCACTATACATGTATGTAACATTCTGTACAAGCCACTCCCTGTAGCACATCTAAACTTCCAAAGGATTTAATAGAAACAACTCTTTGCGACCTTTCTAGCAAACTACACTTAATATGGTGCCCATTACAGTGTTGAGTAGTTAACTTACGATGACATTGTGTATACAAGAATGTGTCTTGAAGTAAAAATTTGTCTGTTTTCCAGAGAGTGTGTCACTGCCAGAGTGGTTATGAAGGTGATGGTGAACGGAGTTGCAGAGCTGTCAACCCATGTACAACGGTAAGGACTACTTATTGATGTACATGTACATGTATAGTGATGGAAACAAGTGGAATAATTTGCTAGTTGTTCTGTTTCTGGTGTTATGAGATTTATTGTCTATGTTCTTCTTCCCTCCTTTAGAACAATGGAGGGTGCAGCAGTTTTGCCGTCTGTAACCACACAGGTCCCAACGAACGGGAGTGCATCTGTCAGGATAACTACATCGGAGATGGCATAACCTGCACTGGGAACATTGGACAGGTCTGTATTATCGTTTTTCTAAGTAGCAATTTTGGTATTAGTAATGCGTTTGAGACACAGGGCTGAAAATGATGGATTTAGTAGAGCAAATGTTGTCATGTCTGATTGGTTCAAAACTGCAATTCTTACCTCAAGTACATGCACCCTATCAAAAAAATATATTACATGTATTCGGTCCTTTTGTTTGTCTGCCAGTGGTTCGAATTCTAACTGTCTATAATTTTCTTTTTCTTTTCAGGAACTAGGGTTGAACCCCAACACTAGTCTTTTCTATTCCCTCCTTCAGGTAAGGCTTTTGTCGAAACTGGACATTTAGTGACATGTTTCAACAGCATATTATTTCAACTGATGTACATGTACATGTACATTGTATTTAAAGATCTTTTTACTGCACTAATATTTGGTAACACGCGTTGTTCCATTGCACAAAGTTGTAACAGAATGTTATCCGAATGCACATTGCACATTGTGTTTTTCTAACATTATTAGTAAGGCATTGCTGCCTAACATGCATGACTGTATTACCCTAACACTATACACATGTATTACCTATATCCATCTGATGGCTGCTTCAGGAGTTTTTTAAGCCATCAAGGAGTCAGGTATACAAATTTGCCAATCAATAAATCGTTAGACTAATCATAATGTCCCATGCTGTGTCTATGCAAACTAGATCACAAGGAATGCTAAAATCAATTCAACCTTCTACCTGCCACCTAACCCATAACCAATAGAAGATTGGTAACCAAAGAACTATATTGAACTAGTGTACTAAAGGTTAACGGAAAGAAGTTCTATAGTGTCAGACTGAAGGTAACGTTACAAGAAACTAGTGCTAGAGCATCTTTTTAAGTTTGGTTTTTTATATTTGACAACTCTATATCATTATAAGACCATAAAGCATACATTTATGTATTGCGATATTTGCCATGATCTAACACCTTGTAACGTTTTTATTTCCTCTAGTCTACCAACTCCCACCAGCTGGTTGGAGCAGGCCCCTTCACCGTGTTTGCCCCCACAAACAGGGCCTTCATGAGGCTGCAACAGGACGTCCCTGGGCAGGTAGGGCCACGCAGGCACTTAGATGTACTACCACGGACAGTCTTCTCATAGAACAAGGCATTGATTATCCATGGCTACCTTATACGACCTCTCCGTGTGATGAATTGTTCATTTCCCAAAGAGGTCATCAATTTTCAGCTTTACTTAATGAGGGGAGAGATCTTGGAAAGGCCTTGTCCTTTCATTTCATAGTTTGGATCTGTTGGCTGTTACTGCCATCTATCAAGGCAATACATAATTTCCACTGATCATGATGTTACAGTTATAGTCTTGTTTGCCAAATCTTTTTTGAAATACTGCACACAAGGGTTATCAATCTCCATATGACCTCTACCTTTATGATAACTGTAAAACTTTTTTTGTTAGCTCATAATATAGTCCCAGGTTTGGTTATTGTGGAGCAATTGGTATTTTTAAGTTGTTGTTGCATGTATCTGTAGTTATCAAGTATGTAATTGATTGTATTTTTAAGATGTAGAGGACTCCAAGACGACTAGTAGACACATATTGTTTCACTTAAGGAGTTTCCTAATAAACATACCCCCCCCCCCCGCCAGGTGTTGAAGTGGAGACGTAACGGCATGCTGCACCAGGTGTTACAGTATCACATGATCGGCTGCGTGCAGCTGATGTCCCACACCATGGAGAAACAGGACAGTCTGCGCACACTACAGGGAGACCTCATTAAGCTCAGCCTCACACAGGTACTTGTTTGTTTGTTTGTTTTAAAAAAAACTCCTGAATTACGATGACTTAACATCTCTTAAAAAAACACAGGACAAGTACAATATGGACATAAAACACAAAGACACTAAGCCTGTACTTGAGGCTTAGTTGTAGAACTATTACATACACCTTTTAACTTCATCTGTTATATAGCCTAAACAACCTTTTAAAACATTTCTTATTATTTACTTCTTTCACATAATACATATGGTGGATATTCGATATGTACTTTTTCAGACGGGATTGCTGTTGAATGGAGACACCCACATCAACAGACTGGACCACGAGACATCCAACGGTGTCATACACTACATAGACAGTGTCCTCACACCCTCTAACATGCAGTCTTTTGAGGACCTAGTCGTAAGTAACGGTTGACAAATCCAACTTGGTCCAAGTAGCTAGGTTTATTTGAATAACTGAAAATCAGAACTAGTCGGCATAAAGAAGACTTATTGAGACATGTAAATGTTTTTAAAAAGCTGTTTCCTGAAAATGAAGCTGGCTGATTGGCAAATGAACATGTTATTAACAACACAACACTTTCAGCACCAAGGAAAGGACCTGTCCAGTCTTGGTGCTGATTTGCCTTCACCCAGTTATACCATTTCTGTGGGTTGAAAAAAAACTTTTGCTACATGTATAGTGTAAACGTCAACTTATGCTTAAACACATTCAACAATCACATCTTATCCCATGGAACTCTAGTGTCAGTTTGTAGAGACAGAATATGTCGTGATTGTGTGTTCACAACTGGTTCTTGCTACCCTCTAAAAGAATGTGACAAAATGAGACTATCTCTGTGTGTGTGAGTGTAGAGATAGCTGCACGTGTGGCACCACCACATCAGCATGAAAGTTCACCTGTGTTGGTAGTTAACGCAGTACAGAGATAAAGATTTGATGCACTCATTTTTGTGTGTGTTGGAACAAAGTTTTAACTCTGTACTGTGTGTCACCATGTTTTCTATGAAACCTCTGTACTGCAGAACACTTCCTATGTAGCACCAAGAGACAATACCTGGGACGATCAGGAGACAGACCAGTGGACAAGGACAGATTTAGTAGTAACTATGATTTTTGCCTCTTTCCGCTTTGGTTTGCTTGCCTGCCTGCTTGCTTACATCCTGTTTGTTTTTTATGCAGCCGTGGATGACAGCCATTTGAGAACATTTTCAGCCTTGCTTTTGGCTTGCCATGCACAGTTTCATCTGACAGTGCATTGTGTGGACGAACGACTTTTGTTTTTATTTGTTTGTTGTACTTTTGTTGTTAGATGTTCTTAATTGTTGACTTCTGTTACAGGCCAACATCACAGTTGTGGCAACGTCCTTCAAGTATAATTTGTTCCTTGGGGCACTTCAGGTGGGTTCCTTTGCCTTTTTTTGTAGGAACCATAAGAAAGTTGACTGTTGAAATTATGATATGAAAGTACATCAGATTTTAGCCTTTAGCGCTTACTCTGTGTTTTGTAAATGCCCTTATTATGAGACTTAAAGAAAGAGGCTATTTGAAACAGTTTGCACAATTTCCTCCAGCTTTCTCCATCTAGTAAAAAACACATCTGTACTAAATTATTACAAAATTCTCTTTCCTTGCAGTTAGCCTTTTGACAGGAGTTTGCAAACAAAATTGTTTATATTCTTTAGCCTGAATACCATGTTGCAGTTTGTGTCTCTTTTTTGACCTCCCTGCCTTCCCTCCTGATCCTGTCCCACCACAGACAGCTGGGCTGGTCAGCCTGGTGTCCGACCCTGTCCACACCCCCATCACCATGTTCTGGCCCACTGACCATGCCCTCAAGTCCATGCCTGACCGCAAGTATCAGGAGCTGCTCAAGCCGAAGAACAGGGGAGAGCTGATCGAGTACCTCAAGTACCACATCATCAGGGATGCTAGGGTATGTTAATGTAGAGTCTGTCATAAGTTTTACATGTAACACAGTGACATACAGAGGAAGCTTTTTCCCCACTAACAGTGAAAGTCAAAGTTAGGGTGGAATGCCTTACCAGGTGCTCCATGTGAGTGAATGCATCATTAACTGTGACCAGTGTCAAATCCCAATGATTTTTGAAGGTTAATCGTAGCCATTGATTTTGATACATATTTGGGTACTTAAAATGTGAAAATGATATTGAAGGTCATTCCAAATATACATGCACGTGTCTGTTTGAAACAGAACCTGAGAAGTGATTTTTTTTCTTCCAGTTGTCTGCCACAGCCCTGGTGACCAGTAACGACCTTCGGACTTTGCAAGGTTCCATGGTGGAGGTCATGTGCAAGGGCGAGAAGGTACAGATCATCTGCTTTACATCTTAATCAACTTAAGAAAGAAAAATCAGCTTTTCTTTCCAACAAGTTTTGATGTTGGAAACTTTGAAAGCATAGAAATACAATTAAAGGCCATATATGTATCCATTATAGCTATGTATGAAAAAACACTGCTTTCTGCTACTAGCCAAATATGATACCAAAATTAAAAGAGAACTCCTCTCCAAGCAGAGGTTTGGCCTGTTTTGGACATTGTTTTTGTGACTTTTTAAAAGTTTTTGTAGGCATTTTGTCTGGCTATCTATGTTTGCTTTTCTTTTGGGTATCCTGGCTGATAAAATAGTCTGTACTTTCCAAGACATGTTTTTTACATGTAGGTGTTTTTGTCAGAGACCAGCCCCGTGGTTTCTGGATGATCAGTAGCTCTTGGCAGTGTGCCAAGTCTGTGTGATCTTACAGCCTGACCTTTGACATTTCTGGTGATGGGCAGATCCATTCAGATTTATGGGATCATTTATATTGATCGGGGTGGTGTTGAGGGCACGACATCTGACTTCTGGTAGCTGGATGGATTACAAATTCTATCAAACTTCCCTGAACTTAGCAACTCTTCAGCCAGCCAACTCCAAGTTTTGGAGACGTAAAGCTACAAGTTAAAGTTTTTTTTTTTTACTTCAGGACAAAATACTCTCAGACTGGTATATGACAATTCATTTTCTGATGATATTTTGTAAATGTACTTTGCAGGGAGACCTTTATGTGAATGAAGACAGCAAGATTGTCCAGAGGGGCATCATGTTTGAGGGAGGAGTAGCGTACGGAATCGACAATGTCCTGGAGCCACCCAGTATCGGTGGGAGGTGTGACGTCATGAGCAACAGAACGTTTACAGTAAGACCCTGCTTCTTTTTTTTTTCTCAAGAATTTTACATTGAAAACTCTTTAGCCTTGCTTATATCTGTGCTTGTAGTATTCTACCTTTCCTTTAAAGTAGTTAGAAGATGACTTATTCCTCTGTATTTTCTCTCCTGTACCCGTTTCACTTGTAGGGAGAGTGTGGACCCTGTAGAACTGATAATATCTGTCCTGATGGCAGCAGACCAGTGGTGGGTACTTACACTGCAGCTTTTTCAATCAATATCTTTCCTCAGACTGTTCACTTAAGTCTTACTGACCATTAAGAACATGTTAGGAAAAATTGCAAGGGTAATGAAAAAGGAAAATAGGTTACACAGGGAGGGAGCTTTGAAAAAAAACTTCCTGAAAAGAGTTGACCAAAAAAGAGAATGTGCCAAAATTTTTCTGCTGAAGAAGTTGGCACCAACAGTTCCCTCAATTTTATAAATAGCATAATGATTATAATATCTGCTTGTGCTTCATTTGTGCTACATTCAACATTGCATCTTCTTCTATTGGTAAAATCTGTCAGCATCATGTTTTTAGACTAACTGGAGTCCAATTTTCCCCCAGGGACCAGTACAGCGATGTGTGTACATGGCGTACTACAGGCAGGCCAATGGGTGTAAGAGACAGTGTGTGTACACCACCCTCAAACCCAAGTGCTGTCCGAATTACTACGGCAGGGACTGCAGAGGTCAGTCATACACATTTGCAGCACAATCTGAATGTATGCTTAGCTTAGTTTCCTGACATATTACCTAGGGAACGTGTCCCTCTTATTTCAACTGTACCGTCTTTTACCTTCCCAACTGAAGTTGGGTAGTACCATTTTACATCTGAGTGGAGTGAGGAAAGTCTGTTAAGTGCCTTTCTCAAGGACACAACGTCTAGTCAGGACTGTGAGGAATGGAACCCATGACTATGTCCTATCTACTTGCCTATGTACTCAGCCATTTGGTTCCACAATACTTGTCTAATTGTGTACTAACTGTATGATTGTGCTTGAATGTAGCCTGCCCTGGTGGAGCCCAGCGGCCCTGTAATGGCCATGGGACCTGTGATGACGGTGTGGATAACCACGGACACTGCAGGTGTAATGTGGGGTACAGGGGACAGGCCTGCGAACTGTGTGATCCTGGCAGATTCGGACCCAACTGTGAACGTATGTCAGAACTTATGTATCAGTTTCACAGTGCTTAAGAGTACAGTAAAAATTGCATAACTCTGCAAAAGAAGAGGCCTGACTAAGGCTTCTAGCAAAAAGGTCTAATCAGACACTTAGTATATTGATTATGATAAAGGAACAAAAAGCTAAAACTACAATAGATTGGTTGAACTCCCCATATTTTTGTAATAATTATTTGCATGTCACAGTCGTGATGAGTGACTTACATTGTGAGCTTTATTATCTTTGTAATCCTTGATTTTATCATCAATGTTGATGCATATGTACGTATTGCTTATGACCAACATTTCTTTGTCTCCAGCCTGTTTCTGCAGTAACCGTGGCCTGTGTAGGGACGGCATTGAAAATGATGGAGCCTGTTTCTGTGAGGAAGGATGGACAGGACCTAGATGTTCCCGGCGCCTAGGTTAGTCAAGGATACTTTTCTAAACACACATGCGTGTAGGCTAGCCTCCTTCGCAGTCTTGTTGGGCGTGGGCGTAATTTTTTTCTCTGAGCGACGCTAGTAATATGCCGCCGCGAGGGACGATTTGCTGCCGAGGGACTTTTGCCACGGAGAGAAGGTTTCCGCGCTCCAACAAGACTGCTTCCAATCGGCGAGTTAAAAGGGCTATCAAAAAACACTTAGGAGCGATTGGCATGGATGTGTGAACTTCCCGCAATAAACGCCACCAGTGCAGGGTGGTGTTCACGCCCCGTTGATCGACGAGCCAAAACTTGTAACTTTCCAGCGGTCGCCGATCAACCCGTCGGTAGAACGCCAACCATTCCCGAAAACCCAGCCCTATCCACTCAACAAAATCCCGGAGACATTGCTGCTACGAAAAACAACTTTGAACAAATCACTACCACAGGAACCCGCAAGCTAAACTGTGATATTGCTGGGGTACGTCGACAGATAAACAAAGTGCCGCCATGTTGTTTGGTGGCGGGTTGATCTCACTGACCATGGGAGGGTAACACACCGCTCCGCAGCAAGTTGCGTAATAGAAAGAATTGCACATTTCACCAGCAAAAATAGTACTGTAAATTGTCTTGGTTTGTTTGCATGGGACGCTTAAATATGCACGGCAATGCCTTTGTTGTAACATTACCAATGTTCTCTGTTGGAACCTTCGACTATAACGTCACGCAAGCTAATAAAACCAACCGTTGACAAAGGCGAGCGCGTGTCATGCGTATCTATGAATTACCCTTGCGCGGACATGTGAATTGGACCTGCGCGAACATGTGAATTGGACCTGCACGAACATGTTAATAGCCTCTATGAAAGGCTGGCTTAATCCGAGGTCCTTTTAACTCGCCGATTGGAAGCAGTCTTGTTGGAGCGCGGAAACCTTCTCTCCGTGGCAAAAGTCCCTCGGCAGCAAATCGTCCCTCGCGGCCGCATATTACTAGCGTCGCTCAGAGAAAAAATTACGCCCACGCCCAACAAGACTGCGAAGGAGGCTACGTGTAGGCACACCCAGTACACGATATGCACAGACACACGCACACACACATGTAACAGACATACACACACACAACACATGAAGTGGCCAAAAAATAATTGGCCTTGCATTGAGCGACACCGTTAAAAAAAAAAATGCACACACAAAACACACACATGCAACAGTCACACACTCGTCCCAACAAATTCAGCTGTCTTGGAAAAGGCTTAGATCCTTGTTGGCAGTCAATTCCACAGAATCGTGCAACAACCTACAATAACCTACAACCTACAATAAATGATATGACCACGCCACAACTTCAGAATGCTCTTAACACCACTAGTCATCAATGTTTAAGGTTGAAATTTTCTTGCAGACTCCATGCCGACTTGTGACCCGCCATGTGACCAGAATGCTGTGTGTCGTGAAGATAACATGTGTCAGTGTCTACCTAACTTCCAGGGTAATGGCAGAAGGTGTTCAGGTGAGAGTCTTCTCTGCTTTTTAGTAGCTTACTCATTACCTTAAAGTTTATAGCATGTTGGTTTGTGGTCTTGCATCCTTCATTTGGAGTTGTAAAAGTAGCATTACCTGACTGTACAACTGCCTTTCCACAAGTAGTAAATGATTCTGGGAATAGATTAATCTCATACACTAAGTAGTAAATGATTCCGGGAATAGATTAATCTGCAGTGTATCTCCCAAGACAGTTTCTCGTATATAAAAAAATGAATTTAACACTTCATCATCATCTATTTGCCTGTAACAGCCAGGACCATGCTTGTATAGATTTCCCTCCACATAGCCCTATCAAGCAAGCATTACTTTTCTAAGTTTCTAATGCTTAATTTTTCTAAATTGGGAATGCAACACATTCAAGATTCACTTCATAGAGAATCCACTATTCTGCTTGCAGCGATTGACCTGTGTGCCCTGAACAATGGAGGTTGTCACCTGCGGGCCAGGTGCCGTCAGGTGGGCACTAACACCACCTGCCAGTGTGAGAAGGGTTATGAAGGGGACGGGTACGTGTGCAGGGGCATTGACAGGTGCGCTGTCAACAACGGAGGCTGTCACTCCAACGCAACATGCAGGTACACAGGGCCGGTAAGTGTCGGTTTGGTGGAGATACAGAGGATACTTAATGGTACTTTAGCATGGAAGTTCATCTATGTTGGTGGTAATCATCGTACATTGCTACAAACTTTATTCCAACCCAGTCCTTGCTAGCCCATCCCTGCATTTCAGTCCTACCTCTGATGGTACACATCAGAGCCCCGATACTTAAATCGCGACCAAGGCCGCCCGTCTACCCCCCATATACAACGCCCTCGTCCAGTCATGTGACCTGTGTTGATCTTCTAACCCCCTGGTCACGTTACTTCTTTAGCAGCTGAAGAAAGATGGCCGATGGCATCTGAAAGCTTCTGTGCTTGCAGTTGAAACCTTCCAAAATGTAAGTCATGTGTATCAGTCTAACTTCCTTGAAGTCGTTTTACTAACTCTGACTGTTCTTGTTTTTGTTGTAGAACACACGGACGTGTACCTGTAAGCCAGGGTTCACAGGAGACGGGGAGCAGTGCAAACTCCCGCGCACCACCATCGGGAAATGTGACATCAACAACGGAGGCTGCTCACCCAATGGCAGATGTGTGGAGATCAGGCCATCAGGTACACATGGGGAAATGTTTATGTGGGGCTCTGGAGTACTAGTGTACAGTTACTCTATTAGTGACAGCCTCTGCATAATGACTAACTTGCTGTAGTGAGCTACATGCGACCATTTTCTTGGGTCTCCTAAGTGTTCACTGCAGACGGGTTTGACTGTTATCTGAAGCGCATAAAAGGCAATGGTCTACTCCTACATTTTATGTCCTTCATTTTGCTCACTCAAATTAAATTTAATATTTACACAGGACAGAAATTGTCAATTGCCAATTGGCAAGACAATAGGAATGTTATTTAGAATAAGTACTTTGTGCACTTTTTATGCCACACACGGATATTGTTGGCAAGTTGGACTAAACGGTACGACTGTAAAAGTAATCAGAAGTGTTCTACTCATGTCATCCTTGCTCTGTTATGTGCCTCACAGCCAGGAAGCCTGCAGGAGATGTGCAGTGCAGCTGTATGAAGAGTTTTGTTGGAAATGGGACCATGTGTAACAGTGAAGTGTACCAGACGCTACAGTTCACTCCGCAGTTCAGCAGATTCTACATTGTAAGGAACATTGTCACAACAGTTACTTTAAGAATAGAAAGAAAATCAAATTCTACAAGTCTTCTAGTAAATTATTATTCAGCTAGCATTTCTTTAAAGATCCTGGGACTTGTAATGTCTTTTCAAGCAACAAGCAGTCCTTTATTTTGAGACATTACATGTATGTGTGTAGGACATCAAATCACAGTTATGACATGAATGAATTCCAGTACTATGTATAATGTTATGCACTTAAACATCTGTATCCTGAGACAATGTTTCTCCAACATCTATGTTTGATTTGACAGTAACAGTTGTCTATTGTGTGGTCTGTGTTTGCAGGAAGTTCAGTTGTTTGAAAGGAGGTCGTCAGAAGGAAGGAAGCTGAGGAGAATACTGGAGCAGTCCAAGCTCAAACTGACACTGTTTGTCCCCAGCAATGATGGACTGCCTGTTAACGTGGTAAGGAAACTTCATCTTGTGCTTCAGTATTACAAGTACCTCAAGGAATTTTCTGTTCCCAAAGTAAAAAAAATGCCATAGATTGCAATATACATGTACATGCATGTTACATGTAATATGGAGCACTCATATTGTGGGTGCCATATTATAAAATGTGCATGCTCTCAGGATACAAGTTCTGTATGTTGAAAACAACAAAATGCAAACTCAAAATAAACATGTAGCTTTTGTATAACTTTTTCTTATAACTGTTTTTGCTCTTCCTAAGGCAAATAAGCCTTTTGTCGCACCAGGGATGAAGAGGGTGAATAGTAATTATATTATTTAAGGCAAATAATTAGAATAATCATACCAAAATTATATTTTTTCTTAGTCTCTATCAGACAAGGACATAAAAAATCACCTGTTGATGAGCAAGTCGTTTGTGAGGTACGAAGACTTCAAGGACGGCATGGTGCTGAAGACAAAGGCAGACATGGAGTTAGTGGTGATGGCAGACTTCAAAAAGGTAAGAAAATGGAGGACTGGTCAGGGATGTCTTAGCTAAGAGCCCAGTCACATCATTGTGCAATCACACACGGATGGCATTCTTGGGATAGCCTTGCATGTGTCCTTAAAAATTCAGCTGTATTGTTACAGAAAAGGCTGTGTTAGATCCTTGTTGGTGGTTAGTTCTGCCACGGCCTTTCTGAAATTTTACGACATCAAAATCATGACAAATGACAATGTCATGCCATAACCATTGGCACCAAGCTATACAGAAACTTCCTACATGTACATACAGGTGGCAGAATCTATCTGGCAAGATATTATGAATTTGTTGATTGCTTTCTTTGTATGGATAAGCGTGATGTCATTGTAAAGCCACACAAGGATTGTGTCCATGTTCAGTTCTGTGTCCTTTGCAGTAACTTTGTATACCGTAGGTACCATCCAGTTAGTTTTGGAGATTGAAATCTTTTCTTTAATGTCCTCCACAGGGAGTTTACATGGTGAATGGGCAGGAGGTTCTGGAGTGGAACATCCCGACTACAAACGGCATCATTCACATCATCAAGGGACCACTCTTTGCCTTGAGAGCACCAGTAAGTAGCCATAACATGGTCTTAGCTGTAATGCTTATCCTAGAGTTTGAACTAATGTACATACTACATGTACATGTGGTACTAGTAACTAACAGTACAATGTAATGAAGGCAATAACTGTTGTGCTTGGCAGTCATAATCTGTAGTATTATACATTGCTGTAGGTCAAAAGTGTCAACTCACAGTAACATCTTTCTATTTCATTTTACCTCTAAAAAACAGCTAAAACAGATTTGCTTGTAAACAAAACTAAAGGGAGCAATAAAAGGGGTCTACTGACAGAAATGAGATCTTACTTCTCAACCTGTATGTTTTACATGTGTACATGGATTTGTGGTCCAGGTACATGGCAGATCAGAACTGTAGTGTGTGACTGTTGAATTTCTTGTAGGTGGCCTTCACTAGTTATGTTTAAATGCTTTGATGTCAGCACTGTGATACCAATACTACTGTGCTTCATACATTTTCTACATTATGTGTTCTACAGAAAGCCAGTGGGCAGATCCGGGATGTTGGCCCGACGGTGACGTCAGGAACGATAGCTGGCATCATCATCGCCCTGCTGCTGGTGGTGGTCCTCTGTATGGTGGCAGCCTGCTTCTTTGTCAAGAGGCACAAAAGAAGTCCTGTTTTAGGAAAGTATAAAAAGGTATTGTTCTTGTCGTTTTTGTTTTTTTGGTTTTTTAGTGGTTTGTTTGTGAGGTGCCGTATGCCTGGGGGCTGTACATGTTTGTCAGAGGAGAGGGTCTTGTATATACATGTATTCATATTCAATGTGTATTATTTATATTCGTGATTATTTATGACATTTATCACAGTCATATCATATTGTAAAGTTCCATGATTCTATTATTTTTGTGAATGCCCTACACCGGAGATTGAACTGTTGTGTATGAGGTTTCAAAATTAGAATTTGCATTTGTCTGAATTCGCTGAAAAAGGTGCATTTGGAAGGTGGTATACAACAGTTAATAAAGGTGAAGAGGGGTACATGTGCACTTTTCCTTTCTTGAATGGCATGTAGGTAGGCATGAACTTAAAGCACATGGTGACAGCATGGATATACTGCATGATAGACTGTGGAGCTATATCGCATGTAATTTCTAGATTTACTTGAATTGCAATGTCAACTGAGTTACAGTCAAACCTGTACAAATGATCACCTTGACACATACATGTACATGTACACGTAAGGACTTCCTTGCCTTTAGTGGTCCCCTATGTCATTTTTCCCATTGACGCAAGAATTGAGAATCCTCTATATACATACATAGTGACCACTTGTCAATATACACGTAGATAAGGTTTTATTGGTCCGTTGATTGGTCTCTTTTGTACGGCTTTGACTGTATTTCATACAAGAGGAATACATGTTGTACTTCCATGATATGGTCCTGTCAATCTAACTCTCTTCTTTCCCCCAGACTGATGATGGGGGCAGTGTCACGTTCGACAATCTCAACAACTGCAAGGAAGACACAGAGTTTGATACCTTTGAAAATCCAACGTACAGCAAATTGTGCAACTTAGAGGTGAGGAAAACATCTGCCAGTTTTTCTTCCAGCTATACAGCTATCTTCTGTTTCTAACGGTAGTTGTGATGCAGATGCACATATTAGAACAGAAACCCTATTTCTAGCTACATCATCCATATAAAAGACATGGAGTTACATTGTACACAGAATGGAAGAGCCGTTGATGAATTTCGTTTGTTTGTTTCTTTGAGACCTTGTTTATTCATGAGGACAAGAGGAAGAGGTCAGGGTCAGACTAAATATTCAACATTCATGTTACATGATAGAAGTCCTCACAAATCCATACACACTAGTCGTAATTAATCCATAGGGATAATATCCTTACATATACTGATAAAATGTATCTCTAACATGTTGTTTTAGGAAGAAGAAAAACTGATGAGGCAGCAGGATGGCTATGATTCTGTAACGACAGCATGACACTGACCGTGACATCCCCACTACTCCTCACCACGCTTTCCACCTACTCTAACCAATGGTGCCACAACGGAGAGCTGTGCAGACGATTCTCAGGTTCAACACACAACGTGACCCCAACGATGTGCCCCTCTACCTTCTGTGTGACTCACTGTTTACAGTTACACTGATCCAGACCTGTTAACAGATGGGAGGCAAAATTCAGTTCTTGGACCTTCGAGTTTCAAATCCTTGGCCTCCTTGCCTCTCAGTAAACAATTTCCTTTTACCTACCTAAGATAGGTTGGTCCACAAAACGTGATTCAAGCCATCTTGTGGATGTGTTTCAGACCAACAAGGAAGGGACGATTTGGGCTTCAAAGGTCCAAGAATTGATGATTTTGTCTGTCTGTCTGTTTAATTGGTGTGTGAACACACCAAATGCCAAAGCTGGGTGTTCAAAGAAAACAACTCATCACTTACATGTAGGGTGAAATAAAAGATGGCTCTATGATGCTGTCGTGAATTAAAAGTCCTGTACAGGTTAAGTTGGACAACTTTTTGAGAGAGTTGGGAGATTTCTTATTGCTGAGATTTTTACAGTTATCAACAAGTACATGTGTGAAGATCCTACCGACTGGAAGACTTGTACATTTGTCGTCATGAATTTGCTATGCACACATCTGAGAAAAGGTTGAAAATGGGGTATGTGAAGTGCAATAGGAGGGGCCAAAGTATGACATTCAAAGGAAAGTTGTTGGTTGCAGTAGTTTGATTAGGTGTAATGATAAAATTCTTTTCAGTATTTTCGTTTCCTAGGTTTTAACATTATTTGGGAGACAAAAAATTATGATATAGGGGGGGAAATTTCTGTTAAGAGATCTGTGAGTGATGAAATATTTGATATCATCACCAGGAAAGCTCATAGAAATGTTAATATTCTATATAGATATGTCGTTTATTGTTAAAATTAAGCCAGTTTTTGTATTGAATATTGATGGATTAAGGTACAAATGTAGCCTCACGCCTTGACTGCTGGCCTACGCATTTGCCACTTTGTCGTCTGAATGCTATTTATTTAACTGTAACCATGTTAGCTAAATTTGTAGTGCACAAATCAAACAAACCCAGCCTAGAGCTACTTACTATGGATATTTGTGATATATGCAGAGCTTGAGGTAAAAAAAAATCTATGTTAGTATTGAAGTGACCAGTAACTTGGAGCAATGTAAAGTAAAAGTGACAAAACAGATTTCTCTGTAACAAATAAAGGGCTAACGTTAACTATCTGTTCAATATGTTTCTGCTCTGCCTCTGACCTCAGTTGCAAGTGCAACTCAGTGTAGCTTTTGACTGACATGCGAGGGAGCTAGTAAGATAGATAATTTTAAACCTTTGCAAGTGTGAGACACATATAAATGCAAGAAGAATTGAAAATGTGGAAAGATCATTTTACCAACAGTATTTTGATATTTATGCTACTATACAATGTACATGTATGGCTACATTTGTAGCTAGCAATTAAAGCCACTCAAACTCACTATTTCAGCCTGATGCAAACTTCCATAAAGCCATACAGATTCTTCCTGGAAGAAAACAGTACTTTTTCATTCCAAAGTGATGTTGTCACAGTTTTTCCAAGAAATGGAAAAATGGTCAAGCGTGAGTCAAGAGGAGGTGAAATACTAGTAGCTGTACTACATATATGTTCATGGTTGTTAAGACTATCAGAAAAACTGACAGATGTACATAGGAATGGCCAGTAAGACACGGTTGGGTTGCCGATCGAGACACTGTTTGATGTTGCCAAGGTCTGTAATATAAAATATAAACAACTTTATTGATTAAATCTATCCCTTTGCATCAAACTTATGTTGGCTGGTCGTTGCCTCTTTGTGATGTTTTCATCCATACTATGAAGTGCTGTAATTCATTGATGCAAACCATAATATCTACTTTACACAACTTTGAACTCTGATTTCTTGTGTAGTTATGAATTGAGTGATTGCATGTTGTGTAGTAAGTGTCAAGGTATGTATAATGAAATTCATGAAATTTGTTACTATACCCCAAATGGGGCTCACTCCAAATTGGGTTTACACATTAGAAGGTTTAACATGGTTCAAAGTTAAGATAAAGTTTAAACCTTTGGTTTAAGTGAAGTTTATCACAAATGGTGTTTACCCCAAATAAATCAGGTTTACCACAAATGGGGATTGTTAGCATGCTTACATGTACATGTGGGGTGTGATGACGTAGTCTGCACTGACACCAGAACGTTATCCCCCAGGCAGGGCAGAACCCCACTCTGGCGTCGCTTGCTTTGTATTAAATGTCCACACATGACTCAGCAGTTTAGCTATTGTCAGGCAAACGTACTAAAGTGCAGGAGGGACCCAGAGACTAAACGTTAATTGTCCTCGTTGCATGCACAATATGTAAATGATTTCCTTGCTTCTCACACTTAAAACACCAAAAAAATAGCAGCTTACTTTTCTACCTCAGTTTTAAGCGTCAGTTAAATGACCTACACTACACCTGCACGGTGGATCATTGTTTACTTTCCCCATAGTTACATACTTGTGTAAACAGCAGTGCAGGTATTGGATTACACTCTGTGAATGCATGTCAAAACTGCACCATAGTCGCTGTAGCCATGGGCAGAATTTGTACAGTTACTTGAAAGGATAACTTATAAAGGACTCTTCACGCTAGGGGTGCAGAAGGTTGCTGGAAGGCTGGCATAACTTGTGTTAGATTGTTCAGCAGAGCTGCTTCTGCCAACGTCAAACATAACAGATCAAGCTTGTCCTGGTCAATACAACAATATTTGGGGACAATCATGGGATCAGGTCAGTAGCTCTAGTTCTTTTCAACTGATCTTGTGATTTCATGCAGTTGACCTAATCATTGTATGATATCTAGCAGATATACAATGTAGCTGTTGTTTTAGAAAGGGTAGAAACTTGTATTTATTGGTTTTTTTTGCAAATCTAACCGTGGCTTCTCGTCACGTCTAGGAGCTAAAACCACTAAGAAAGTTATTTATAGATCTGCAAAATACATTTGATAAACCTGGGATGGGGAGGGGGGCTGCACTGGAGATCTCTTAAACACGGTTTTTCAAAGTATCTGATCGATACATACAACCCTGAGGATAAATGTTAATGGAGGTTAGGTTCTTAACAAGACTGTTCTTATCAGAAATTGCTCATAACCGTTCTTCCTGTACCCCAGGACCCAGTAGGAGATGCCATGGTGGTGTCTGCCGCAGCGAGGCAAAGCTGGATGGAAAAACTGTCATCATTACAGGGTCAAACACCGGCATTGGCAAGGTCACTGCCAAGGACATGGCAAGAAGAGGTCAGATGTTATAACATCATTGAACAGAAAATAAATTGATGATTCATTATATTGATCATTCTGTAGAATTTCAACAAATTGATATACTATTGAATTTGAAATTTTAGTTGTCATAGCATTATCAAATTTTGACTTCCATTTCCTACTGTTATAGGCTGTTTTGGTGTCTGTGTATTTCTAATATTTAAAAGAATCATCATACAAACTGCCAAATTACAGTTGACGCACATGTATACATGTCATCAAAATTAGATATCAAAATACTAGTATTACAATATTCAAAATTAGCAATGATCCCCCCTCCTCCTCCCCACAAAGCAGCATGGCTGAAGTCTGGTGTCTCTGATTGCATCTTATGAAAGCCTGTTTGTAACAATATTATCCCCCCTCCCCACCCCCGGCAGGTGCGAGGGTCATCATGGCCTGCCGTGACCTGACCAGAGCAGAGGCCGCCGCCTCTGAGATCCGTCAGGAGACCGGGAACGAGAACGTGGTGGTGGAAAAGTTGGACCTGGCTTCTCTCGCCTCTGTTCGGGAATTCGCGACCAAAATCAACCAGCAGGAGGGACAACTGGACATCTTGATCAATAATGCTGGTGGGTGTCTATTATAGTGCTAGTAAAATGGAGCTATATATGTACTGCCAGTATTTCTGATGTCTACCTGCACTGGTCCATGCACTGGGTATATGCAGGTTAGTGCAGGTAAAATTGGAGCTGTGCAGGTACATGTATTTCTGATGTCTAACAAGTTACCCTCACCTGATCTGCACTGGACCTATTTGTGGATTTTGTTTGCTATACTAGATCATTTCAATTGTCACCACCTGTGAAATGCTGAACAACGAGTGGTTTCCAGTTTGATACATACTCCCTTTTGTTTCATATAGAGCAGCGTCAGTGCAAATTTGTCAAGTACAGGTTATTTCTGTTTTCAGAGCTCAACATACTTTGCTAGCATCAAAGTTGTTGCCAAATATACCTTTGCTACCTGCCTTTAAAGTTGCCTAAAAAAAACATGACACCTTCCATTCGACAGGTATCATGTTCTGCCCGCAGTGGAAGACGGCGGATGGTTTCGAGATGCAGTTTGGTACGAACCACCTCGGCCACTTCCTCCTCACCAACCTTCTCCTGGACAAGATCAAGGCCTCCGCCCCGAGCCGCATCGTTGTCGTGGCCTCGCTCGCCCACGAATCAGGGAGAATGAATTTCGACGACGTCAATATGACAAACAACTATAGCACGAGCAAAGCGTACAGCCAGAGCAAGCTCGCCAACATACTGTTTGCTAGGGAACTGGCCAGGAGGCTGGAAGGTGGGCTTTCATTTATAAGGTCTTAAGGAATATTATGCTGTCACATTTCTGACCCTGGGCCCAGCAGGGCAGTTTGCAGGAACGTAAAGTATGATATAAAAGACAACAATACACAGAGTATTGTAAATTGCAACTCACCACAGGTAGCTGAAGGTGATACGACGTTGCAACAAATTGATGCATCCTTAACACTTCTGAAGGCAACAACGTGATTGTGACCTCCCTCCATCCAGGCGTCATCTATACTGAGCTGAAAGGAATACTGCAACTACCAATATTCAAATTTTTCTCAATGAAGAATCAGACTACTAGTATATTGTAAATGGCAACTCACCACATGTAGAAGTTGCATCTGAAAATTGATGTAGTCTATCCAGTGTGTGAAGGTATCTATTATCTAGCATCATCTGTTAGGGATGTGGCATGTAGAACTCACCATAAGCAAATTTCCATCCCTGAAGGCACCAAGGTGATTGTGAACTCCCTCCACCCGGGTATCATTGAGACGGAGCTGCAGCGGAACATGTCTGAGGGCTGCGGGTTCACCTACACCTGCTGCAAGTGCTGCTTCTGGTGCCTGCTGCGGTGTTGCGGCAAGTCTCAGTACAAGGGAGCCCAGACAACCATCCACTGTGCCGTCGACGAACAGATAGAGGGATCCGGCCTCTACTTCTCGTAAGTAATTGCAAGCAGATGCATGGTTGTGCTTATAAGCATTTTTTAGGACTTAACCTTCTCCCTGCTGCCTAATCTCATCACTAATACATGACGTACATGTAGGTTCAAATTCATTTGGTTTCGTGCACTAAGGCCATGTTGATTTGATTATATGGGAGACATCCTCTGGGAACCCCAAAACTGATGCGAGTGTGCGAATAAAAAAAGTTTAGCAAAAACAAGTTGCCTTCATTATGAAATCTACATGGTCATGAAGAAATAGCTAAACTCACAGAGTATGCTATGGTGAATAATACTCTTCCTTTTCATTTCTTCACTTTTTTGGAGGGCATGAAAATTCATATACGCACGACTGTCATCCATACAATCAAATCAACATGGCCTAATAAGCTATGGACCCTGCAGGTAAAAATGATAAAGCAGAAAATAATCAAATTGGCATTGGATATAACAACAAACATTCATAATAATGTTCGAGATGAAAGAGCCTGTCCTTTCCCTCCCCCCTCCCAGAGACTGTGTGCCAAAGCAGCCGGCCCCACAAGCGAGGGACGATGAAGCCGCCAAACGGCTGTGGGATATCAGCGAGGAAATGGTTGGACTCAAGAAGGACTGAAGAGCTTTAGTTGTTACTTATCAAGTGTGGTACATTGTGTAGTTTATGATAGTTGAATGTGAAGCATATGAGTAATGTATTACTGTTTTCGTGTGTTGCATATTGGAATGTTTAGAACGAATTTATGTTAATGACACAATGATTTGCATTTGTAATATACTGTTAATGTGCTAAAATGTGACGACTGTACAATGTATGTGTCAGATTATCAAGATGAAGTACACAACAAAAAACTCAACTCAAAGAGATGTAAACTTCAGGAAATAACAACAACAATCATCTTATGCATCTTAAGTATCTGTTACAACAATTAAACATCTGTTACATTATTTCAAGTTTTTAAAAGATGACATGAAGTTTAAATTAAATTAAAAATCACTGGAAAAGGAAACTTCTCCACTTTATATGTGCACCAGAACAAGTTGTCAACAGAGCTATAAAGCTACAGAAAGACAGTCGTAACATTAAGACAAGTGTAGTCAAAACAAACTGTAGTCTTATAAGTGACCAAAGAAATCCAACTAAAACCTCAATCCATCTCATCTGTAAGACTTATATAGAATACATCACGGGGTATTCCGTATCGCCCGAGGTATCGGCCCGACCGCGGGTCGGATCGCCCGACGGCCGCAGGCCGGAGGGCGATCCGACTCGCGGGAGGGCCGGGACCGAGGGCGATGCGGAATACACCGTGTTGTACTTTATTTATATCATACCCACCCAAGAAAACGCGCCTTTCAATGCAAGATGAGCCAAAAGTTGGTGCCCCTAAACCCTAAAATGCAACAACATCAGTTCCAACGTCCGGATTCTGTATTCGAATTTTCGAAAGGGGCACACGCGGTTAGGGCGAAACGCGTTCGAATCGTTTTATGGAAGCCAGGGAAGCGTTCGATAACGGGTTCCGGACCGGGCCGTACCGTAAAGTACGGCCCGGTCCGGAACCCGTTATCGAACGTTATCGCGGCCCGGGTATGATATAAATATAGAATACAACACGGGGTATTCCGTATCGCCCGAGGTATCGGCCCGACCGCGGGTCGGATCGCCCGACGGTCGCAGGCCGGAGGGCGATGCGAGGAGGGCCGGGACCGAGGGCGATGCGGAATACACCGTGTTGTATTTTGTTTATGTCATACCCACCCAAGAAAACACGCCTTTCAATGCAAGATGAGCCAAAAGTTGGTGCCACTAAACCCTAAAATGCAACAACATCAATTCCAACGTCCGGATTCTGGAAGCATGCGGCCTTGAGTGAGTGAGTGAGAGGATTCTGTATTCGAATTTTCGAAAGGGGCACACGCGGTTAGGGCGAAACGCGTTCGAATCGTTTTATGGAAGCCATGAAAGCGTTCAATAACGGGTTCCGGACCGGGCCGTACCGTAAAGTACGGCCCGGTCCGGAACCCGTTATCGAACGTTATCGCGGCCCGGGTATGATATAAGTTCAGATACAAACCATAATGTGTACTATTTCTTACATTTAGTTGACCAAGCAACCATCTATGACCAGTGTTTACATGCACAACTTGGAGACAGCTCAATGACCAAATCTCAAGGCACGTATCAGAAACATACATGTACATCCTATTGATACAAATATATAGTATTGAACATCAAGGATTCAAACTAATATATCACTCACAACTGAAGTTAAGCTTTGAGAAGCTTTCAGACTACATCTGCCATCTTTCTTCAGCTCTAAAAAGTACTGCAACCAAATGTATTACAGGTGTACAAGTGACCACCTATACATAAAGACCATGACGTGGTGGTTATTACTTCTATAGATAATTCCTATTGGCGCAAGCATTATAAGAATCCTGTTTATGCTGTAGTAACCATGTGTCCACATAGACCAGATTTTATCGGTCCTCTGACTGGTCCTCTTGGGCAGGTTTGACTGTATTTTGGTTACACATTTTCCTCACTCTCCCCCAGTGTCCTCCACGTCTGCATCGTCCAGCTCCAGTGAGATGCTGGGGAGTGGCAGACTTCTCTGTTTCTCCATCACTGCCTCAACTGTTATTGCCTTGGGGATGTCCGAATGCCTGCAAAAACACATTAAAATTCTTGTCAGGAGGTCTAAAGCAAACCAGTTTGTATCTGATGTTGTATTTGATGAACAGTGCATTACGTACACTGTAGCCATGACCAGCCTTTTCTGCCTGACCAGAGATACAAACAACAGTACAAATTTTGACACATTCGGTAACCGTGGTTGCATTAGTTGTAGGTTATTGCACGATGATTAGATGTCGCAGTATGTTCATGCAGGCAACATGCGACAGGCTAAGGCAGCATTTTCCATAACAAGACAGCTCAATTTTCTTGGGACACATCTATATTGACGATCCCAAGAGTACCTTCAAATGATTTGACTACAATGATCACACATTAGTATAAGAACCAGATCTTAATAAAATGAGACTAGATGCCTGAGGTGTTCAGTCTGAACCCAACCACATGGGGAACAATCTACGTCTGACTCATCAGAATGGCAGCAACTGACCAGTGAGTCTTTGAAGGGCATCCACATTGTTCTCCTCTAGTGCTCAACCTAGCCCAATAGGATTAACAGTATTAGTACACTAGAAGAGGACATCGTGAACAACCTACCAATGCTTCGTGGACAACCTACCAATGCTTCGTGGACAACCTACCAATGCTTCGTGGACAACCTACCAATGCTTCGTGGACAACCTACCAATGCTCCCTGGCTGCTTGCTGCCATTTTGATGACACAGGTTGTACCCTGCGAACTTACCGCCGTCCTCCCTTTCGATGGTCAATGGGAGGTAAGGGACTGGTCCTGAGAAAACCACTGGACAAAATGTCCGAGTACGTGTCCGTATTACTGTTCTGGGCTCGCTTTCCTGGGCCAACCTGTCACCAACAAGAGAGACTACTCACTACTTGGACCACTTTCTTGTCCTTAATGTTTTGTCTGTTGCTCTCAACGACAAAATGAAATGAAATAAAAACCATAATGGTAAACTTTGTATCAAATATCAGGACCATTTATTAGCAAAGCCTCCATTTTCTATGCAATTGAAAGCGTCATTTATATGGAGACATAAATGGTATTTTGATTGATATTCATCAGTGATATTCAAAGAAAAGTTGCAGTTGTAAATGCCATCAATAAAAAGATTTTCTACCTTGTGCTTGTCAGGTTTTTGTCCACTTTCAAAGTCATCCTCTGACTGTGCAGTAGAGTAGTCGTCATCACTTATGTCAGCAGGACTTACGGACGGCTTCCCTGACTTGGACCCTGTGCTGGAACTGGTGGTCGTCCAGACATCTTTTGAAAGGCCCGGACTGGAAAACGTTCCCATTATTCCCATTACATGTATAAGTGGGTTTTGGGATAATACTGAGAATTGAAATGAAATAGACTGGAATACTGGTACAGCTGTAATTGAAATGACCTGAATGAACGAACACCTGATTTTTGACTATGGGTGCACCAGTGCACCTGTTAGATATTTGCATACTAGTGTAACATTACCATTGGTACCATTGTACACTACATGTAGTATACATATAATTGACATGCAAGTGTCAGAAAATATAAGGAAACCTAACTTGTATTTCCTTGTTATTAATAAAGAATTTTTCAGTTCATCTATAGAATTTGGGTTCACTTACAAAAATATAACGTTATGTTGTGGACCCAAAAATTTAATTTCCCCAAAAGGAATGTCCATCCATAAATTGTGATAACCAATGAAATCAAGGAGACTGAACCAACACTTACCTCACTTTTCCTTTCCTTTTCCGTGGGTATCGCAGAAGCTTGGATGCCAGGCCCTTCTGTCTGGCCACCTGCACCACAGTCTGGAACAGTTTGGGGGTGTCCTGACGTGGTTCATCGTTGGGGACCAGCACCAGGGCATCCTGCACCAGGGACATCTGTTTGGTGCCTTTCTTATCTTCAACTGCATCTCGTTTAGCGCTCTTCTTCAGCAGTTTTCTGTCAACAACGTTTTGTTCAATCTTTTGCTCAACTTTCAACTTCAACATTATGTTCAATCAACTTTGCAGAAGTGACACGATGGAAACCTTGTGCAAATTTAAACGTAAGACAATATAATCAAACAGAAATAACACACGGACAGATAGAACATGAACACTGACACACAAGACCAATTATGAATCAGTTTGTTATACAGGGCAGATTGTGCAATGAAGGAAAGAAGTGTTGAATCCACTAGTCTGTGCCTTACTTTGCCTTGTGTTTGAGCACCTCCTGCACCTGTGGGTAGTCCTTGATAGACTCGCTCAGGTCCTTCTTATCCAGCACAAACAGGGTGGTGAAGCCGGGAGACACCACGTCTGCAGTACGCCTGTTTCCACCACCAACTGCCAGCAGACTGAAACATATGGTGGCAATTGGTTGGGTGATCCAGTGTTGTGCCCTTGCTAAAGGCACTTTACACAAAATATTTCGTCACTCAACTCAGGTGAAAATGACTACCTACAATGTAGCTTATGTTAGGGACGTTCTCTAAGATAGGACTTAGATTTTATGTAAGTAAATACAGTCATATCTGTTGAATATACCAATTCTGCATGTTAGAATGCCATTGCCCACCTGATCTCTCCAAAGTAACTGCCGACATTGAGTGTTGCCAGCACGGTTCGTCCACTGTTCCCTCCCACCACCTGTACAGACCCTTCATTCACGATGTACATCTCCCTGCCAATCTCACCCTGTACAACAACAGTCATGTCAGTAAACAGTCCATTTTGTGTTTGTGTGTGTGCTGAAAGGGGTGCCTTGTGCTGCTCTACATACCACTTGCAAGAGGATGAGTGAATACGTGAGTGAGGGAGTAGAAAGTGTCAGGACATTTGTTACCTTCCTACAGACGACGTCCCCGGGAAGGTACAGAACAGGCTTCAACTTCAGCACCAGGTCACGCAGGAACTGCCGGTCACAGTCCTGAAGCAACAACAGGGGTTAGTCTGAGATGAGGACATCATAACACAAGAACAAACATGGAAGGAAAATGATACTTAAACTAATTCATAGCAAATTTGTGCCTGATAACACTAAAAGGTCAAAATTGTCCCTTAATCACCTGGAAAAGCTTGACCTTGCTGAGCGTGCCCATGTGCACCTGGATGGCAAGGTCAGTCCGCATCTTGACAGGCAGCTGGTTTAACAGCTCCATCTCATCTGCAGAACGTAAATCATAAGGTCATATTTCATGCTACAAATCAACATTGTTCCTGTATCATTAGCATTGTATCATCATTGTATCACTGTAAGAAAGTTTGTTACTTTTTCCAAACCAACATTTAGATGATTATCATTAAATATGCATCATTAAAGCCCTGTACTGAAGCCTTTCTTACCCAGCATGCGAGCCTTGCTCCATGTGTAAGTGTACCACTGTCGCACACGGTCCTGCACAGGTTTGGGGATGTTGAAGCGAGTCATGTACGTCACCACACTGTCCATCCGACGTCGGAACTCAGCCTTCGCCTTGTTGGCAGTCCCTATGGCATCTCGGATCTGTCAAGTTCAATTTGTTACATCAAGACTTGATTGGAAGGGATTAAAATGTCATGAATTTGTTTTCTTTGTGATTATATCAAAAGGGATTCTATCTGTTGAACTCCAATGATCAAATAAACCATTCTTTTACTCACTCACACTCATACACACACACACACACACACACACTACACACACACACACACACACACACACACACACACACACACACACACACACACACACACACACACACACACACACACACACACACACACACACTAACTCATAAATGAAGGGCCCAAACTGGACAACACAGATAGCACAAGTACCCATTCTGATTATCCATGTCGACTGATAAATACTGGACAAAAGATGGAGGACATGTACAGGTACCCCTGTTACCTGGGCAAACATCACTATTCCAACTCAAAACATGGAGGACAGGACAAGAGAACCAACAAAATAGCATTAAACGCAACAGCCAGCTAGCACAGGTAGTTACAGCAGCCACCACGTCCACATCAACAGAGAAACACGGACGTCAGGACGACACATATCTCATGGGCTCCACTGTTACCTGTGCAATAATCATGGCAAACACAAAGACCCCCAAGAGCCAGTTACACAGCATGATGAGGTACTCAAAGTCATTGGTGGGGGAGGGGATGCCTCCGATGGACAGCAGGGTTCGAGTGGCCCAGTAATAACAGCGGATATAGCTGTGAGACCCAAGAACAGCGGTGCAGGGGGAAGTTAGTTAGTGTTATACAGTGATGAAAGCTAGATATCTAGTTTATGTTGTTAGATGATAAATCACTGATACAATGTACTGGAATTTAAAGAACAAGAGCTTATGGACAGACACCTTTTAAATAGTGTCAAAAACATAAGTGAGTTAAGTCTACATGAAATTTTGTATTTTATCATCAAGAAGTGGCTGACCTGTACTGACCTGACCTTAATCTCCAAGCAAGTCATAGGGTGGCAAGGCAGTATCCATTAGCCAGAGTGTACATTAGCCACTTAAGCTGACCTGACCTGTACTGACCTGACTTGACCTGTGCTGACCTGACCTGACCTGACCTGCACTGACCTGACCTGACCTGCACTACCCTGTACTGACATGGCTTTAACTGACCTGTTGCCAGACCCACTATAGACCCATCGGCTGGACCCCAGTCCCTGGAAGTCTGACACTTTGTAGTACATGCAGGCATCCAGGTGGATCATGTACAGCATGTACCCTGTGGTCTTCACTATGCTGTAGTGGGAAGGACAAAAATGGTAGTTTTGGAAACAGAAATAAGACCAAAAGAAAGGCCAAGATCAGGAAGGACTACCAGCTTAGAAAATTCCATTCAGAGATTTCAGATTGTTATTTTGTACTTACCGAAAGATGTTTGCAGATTTCAAGACACTCTCTGCCCTGTCAGTAAACTCCCAGAACACACGGATCTGTGAACAGGGAAAATGTGGTCAGTGGAGGCAAGAAAAGCTCTGGGCTACTTGTCTGATGACAAATATTGTTAGTTATATGTCCTTATTGCTGAAATACACTGGATATAGATGTATGGTTGTACATGTCCTTGGTGTTGAAAAACAAGTTCGGGATAGATGCATGGTTCTGTCCTTGGTGCTGAAATACAGGTGTTGAGGATACACGAATGGTTGTGCATGTCCTTGGTGCTGAAACACGAGTTGGGGATAGATACAGGTTATACATGTCCTTGGTGCTGAAATACATGTTGGGGATAGATGCAGGGTTGTGCATTTTCTTGGTGATGAAATACATGTTGGGGATAGATACATGGTTGTGCATGTCCTTGATGCTGAAATACAAGTAGGGAAAGATGCATGGTTGTGCATATCCTTGGTTCTGAAATACAAGTTTCACGTAGGTGCATAAGTTTGTGCATGTCCTTGGTGCAGGAAAAAATGTTGTATGTTGCATGTAGGTGCATGGTAAACTGACAACAACTAACAAGTTACCTTGAGCAGTCTTGGTACCCGGAGAATGGGGAAGTTCAGCCCAACCTGCAGGTATAACAGGTCCAATGGGAGAAGGGAGGCCAGGTCCAGCTGTTAAAAGAAAACAGCAGTTAGCCAGCAGTAGTTCATGTATGTTTCCCACACTAGATGGCATTCATCAAATCTCACAAGCCCAACCGACATGTAGGCTCGCTCAGTAATTATATTGTGGATTTCATCAAATTGTGTACTGCAAAGACATGTGTTGTCACAAAGAAAGAAAGAGTCTCTATGGACTATATATTTGCTGGCATGAATAGCAGTGACTTATATTCATGAACATATCTTGCTTTGTCTTCACCTTGAAGTCCCGTGACTTGATGTAGTGCTGTCTGGTCTTCTTCCCATCATACTGAAAGACACAAGTCAAATCTCATGGCATTTAAATGATTCGGACTAATGATTGAATGGGTAGTAAAGTGTTTTTGGCTTCATTAAACAAAGGCTTTTGACTTGAATAAACCAAGGCGTAAACAAACAGTTTGAGACAAATAAACAGCAGTAATACCTACCACCATATCCCCCTTCTCAATGAAGCGGACCCGATGTCGGAACACCACAATGTCCAGGATGTAGATCAGGTCACACAGGTAGTCGAAGAACAGCCAGACGGGGTAGTTAGTCGGTGTCTGGAAGGGGAAGGACTGGCGCAGGAAGATGGTCCAGGCGTTATAGGTAAAGGCTGCAGCCACCATCACCAACCAAGTCATGTACAGACGACCTGTACATTAGACATGGCAACGTTTTCAGTGAAACTGTAAGTACATAAAATGCCAAACTGTTAATAAAACATTGCAAGATTTAGTGAAACCAAACGAAAGAAAAATATGGAAGATAATGATGAAACATCTGAGTGAAAATCTGAGTAGGTGGGTTTTAACCTAGCCACAGCCTGGCAGAGGGCACAGGACAGAACTAAGTGGGAGACAACTTGATGAGGCACCATGCTCCCAGCAAGAATGATTATGATGATAAACCACAACTTTATATCACATTACAAAAGACTCTTAGCTCTAACATGAGATGGCATGACATGACGTACTTTCCAGCGGGTCCAGTGTTGTGGGAATGATCTGAGGAACCCGGAACTGCCACTTGAGAAGGGAGATCACTCTGGGCTCAGCCTCCTCCTCCTGCTGGGACCCGGCTGGTAACGGCTTCGTCAGTGACGAAAAGGACAGATGCTGCCTGTCCTCCTGATTATCTGCAGTACACAACAGCATGGTCAGAACATGGGAAGCTTTGAAAGAACCTATCATGTGAAAGAGATAACTCAATATGTCATCATTCTCTATAGGACACAGCATCATGCTCAGAAGATGTGAAGCTTCAAAACGAAGTTATGATTTTTATCATGTATAACCCAAGAGCTGTGACAGAGATAACTTAATACTAGTATGTCATGTTTTATGTAGCAGACAACATCATGTCACCTTGAGACTAAAATACAGTGTCTTATGTTGCATCAGAGTCCATTTGAGACTGGAACCTCTAGGAATTAAAACCCCAGTAGAATAGTGTTTCTATCTGTTTCCTAATTTTAGAACTTTCAGGTAAGGTTCTGGGCAAGCCAAAAAGGCTTTCTAATTATCGACAAGAAAACACGGACACAGACAGATGCAGGGTTGATAACATAATGTCCTTTATTGCATATGTACACAGTGGAAGGATGCAATTATCCTGAATTATCAGACATCATCGTCACAAAAATACACTTACAACTGTAACGAAAGCATCTGTGAATAGTTTCTTTGGTTGGTAAATCAATTCAACATAGTTTCATAACCAAGTTTTTATCTGCCTTTAACATAAAAATCCAGTTGTGAAACTAAGAAAATTATCTTGATGTAGCATAAAATTTTTAAAGCAGTTTAGAAGGCTTGAAGAGACTTCATCATGATAATATTAACATAATTCTTGTAGCAAGCAGTGCAGGAAGTATGATAAGGTGAACTGTGTCAGCAGACTCACCACTGTCCAGACTTGCTGCTGAGGTGGAGGGGGTGGGGGGCTGGATGATCTGGTCCTTAGCCTGGCGTGTCCGCTCTGTCAGGCGCTCAAACAGGGTCTTCAGCCTTCCAAAGGCAGGGTGGTCTTTGGACAGGTAAGGCCTGGGAAGGATCGAATAATAGGATTTTTACTTTCCTGATCAATGACCTTTTTTTTCTAATTTTTGCACGAAGATCCTTTCTAAGTTGCTGATGAAAAACTGTTTAAGCTATATTCTTGAAGAAAAAGGCAATAATATATTTGTGGTTTGAATGTAGAACAAAATTCTTAATTCTTGGGCCAATTTGGGGAAAAATGATCTAAAGGAACTCCAAAATGTGACCACAATGTCAGGTACATGTTTCTATAGTGTAAGCAGCAGGTGTGGATATTGTATGATATTGCAAGTTATGACAGTTTTTGTACATGTTGTCAGTGGTGGATGCTACTAGGCTTCTTGTTGTCTGCCTGGCTATCAAATGACATGTCTTTTTGCATCCTCAATAAAGTAAAGTAAAAGAACCAGGATAGATAACTGAGGACAGTACCCACCGTACACTCCACACGCTGCCGTCGCTGATGGAGGACAGGCGGCTGGGCGGGAGGTCCAGGCGGTACCACGGCTCGTCTCCTGCCGGCTCGTCCAGGCGCGGGGGCGGCACGCAGCTCTCGTCTCCCCAGGACGGGCACGAGCTGGCCACGCTCATGGCCCCGTGGTGCCGCGGCCCCCCGGACTGGACCAGCGTCGGGATGTTCAGGAGGTGGCGGCTGGTGATGGTGGTACTGGAGGTGTTTCAACAGCAGAGAAAACAACAATACAGTGTCAGATGTGAAACTAATTTCATCAGGTTGGTAGGACATGTTCTGTCAGCCTCGTCAGAGGTTGACATTATGGTAGGACATAGGGGGATACAAACTTAGCTACGTTTGAGATTGTGTTCTTGCTGAAAAAACCCGACCTACATTCAGGCTACATATAGTGGCAAGAAGCAGTACTCCAGTCAGAAGCTCTGAGAAAGATGTTTGACATTGAAACGTAAGCAGACCTGGTGAGAAACGTTAACAGGTTGTGTAAGAAGAAAATCCCTATATACAGTGTCACAAAAGTTTCACTCAGAGAAAAAGAAGTAACTGCCACAAACAGGAACGACTGCACGACTTAACATTCATTCTAATGCTATCCTATAGTTTTCTAGAATCTACAGACCATGATGAACACTGCTAATTTTTTTTCTGAACATCTACATTGCAAGCAGAAATACAATGCTTAACTCTAAACACACTGATCTTCAGTACCTGCCATGGGAGTTATTTGCTGCTGTGTGGGTTTCACTCGTGCTTGACCTGTCAAAGCTCTCCATATCATCGTCCTTGTCAAAGTCTTGGATGCTGAAGGCTGGATTGTTGTAGAACTGTTCCTCTAAGGACGTCACTCGCAGGCTGGGAGGAGGGCTGAAGCTGGGGAGACTGTGCTCTCCAGCTTTTACAAGAAGAAGAAGAACTTTAGTATCCGACAATAGTAGCAGGCAGAATGTATGGCGACATGTACATATGTACATGTATCAAAAACTGTAGTAAAAAACAATGCAATGAAATTCATCAATAAAACAATCCATCTTTCAATCAATGACATTAATTTTACAAATCCTGGTCAGCCCTATTAATACTGTAGGACTGAATATGCCTATACATGCAATTCATTGGAAGGCCGTGAAATCAGCGGTCACCAGCTTTTTCACGCCTACCACTCACTGGCCATGACGACTCATGGCAATCGCTTGTATTATTCTTGACTTCCTGACATCTGATACAAAATAATACAGATGAGTTTTCATGACAACAGTCAAACAGTGTCTTACCATCTTCATGGCTGCGGAAGCTGGCGATAGACGGAGTGTTGATGGGTCCAGGGACACTGGGCAGCTGTAAGAACTGACCGCTACTGGACATGCTGGACGTGCTGGTCATATCCCTGTCCTTCTTCGTCTCCTCCGAAGTGTCCAGCCAGGTCTGCCCGCTCATCTCAGGCTCGTCTCGCCACACGTCCATACTCTCATCTGGTACTTCTCCTGTTCAACAGAACAGAGCAACAGAACCTAGTAGTACTCTCTCACGTTCACCATGTTCTACATCTGCAGTTGTTAAGAAATGCCCTTCAGCTGCATTCTGAGTCTTTCTTCATCTTCTTCCACAAAATCTGCTACATCCACCAAATGTACTGAACTAAGTACTCTTAATTTATCTGACATTTGTTCTGTTCAACAGAACAGAGCAACAAAATTTGCTATATCCACCAAATCTAATTTCATCTGGGCATAGTCTTGGCATAGTCTGGGAAGGTGACAGACGGTCACTGAAACGTCGGCTGAATCAACCTCTTGGTTGTGTAAAAAGAGTCTCTTTATTTAGAAATACATATACATGAAGTTTATTGAGTACACAGTAGATAAAGAACACAATCCACAATTTTACCTGTAATAAATGACCCAGGCGAATTCAACCACACTTCCACCTTAGGATGAGCACTCATTCGGTACTTGTTCTCTTCAAAAGATTTGGAAAAACCTGCAAAAAGAAACAAGGATAACAAACATACATACCACATCTGTTGGTTTGCTCCAGCTTGGTGCTGACCACATGATGCATGAATTTCTTAGGTCTTCTCATCTCTACTAGTACTCGAACCATGCCTGCCCTAGAAGCCAAAAATCTAAAAAGACTAAAGCAGCTACCAAATCCAAGTTCATATATACACTGAAGTCATTTTGTTCCCACGGTGACAAAACATGGTTCAAAGGCATCTGTCAAACCTTTACCTCTAAAAAAATTCATTGGTACCATGTGGTGTTGTCTTGTACCAATGTTTCCAACTCTGAACGCCTGGCCATATGGGAACTCAGGGATTCGGACCACCAGAAAGATGCCCTACCTGCATCGGCCATAACTCGGGAAAATCCAGGGAAGTAAAACAAGCACATGACCACCCACACAACTGACCATTATTATTAGGTTGATGAGTGGCTGATGACAGGGGATTAATATTTAGTTGCCATAGCAGCAATATGGAGCCCCAACTATGCACTGGCTCCATCACCTGACTTTAGGACGGAAGCTACTCATTAATAGAGACTGTAACATAGAATTGCAGAAGAAAGGCTCTGTCGTTTCTGTGGAAGAAACATGTAGTCCTGATCCTAACAATTGACTTAGGAAGGAAGCTACTCATCAATAGATTGTTAAATGTAATTTTGAAAGAAAATTGGCTGAACTTTGCTGTGAGGCAGACATCAGATGAATAATTCTCTGGGTGATTGCAGGAAGTCAGGTTGTGTGTTTTTTTTTATTAATATATAACCTTATGTAACAACTTGGTTTCTACACAAGAAGTATTCGGGACTATTCCATTCTATGCTACATTGAAATGTTCTGCTGGACCATTTAAAAGATGATGATCAGGGGCCTAAAATGAAATACAGAAATCAAACGACAGGATGGGGCTAAAAATACTTTTTTCAGCACACCAGCACTGGTGCAGTGCTAGAAAGGGGAACCCAATCAAAGAATATCTCATTTGTGTACTCACACATACTACAAGACTGTAGATTATGTGGTATGAGGTTGGTTTTTGCAAATTGAAAGCAGTGTGACTGCGCGTTGCGTCTAATGGAAATGACAAATATTACACTGTTGAGAAATGGCAACTCAACCGTCTGGTCAAAATTATGTATAACGTTACAGCCTGGCCAATTTTATTCCGTCTTTCCAGCCACCAAAAGATCCGCTTGAAGATCAGCGTTCGGCGGCTTTGGGCAGGCCCTACCCGGGCACTTAATATCTCTATCACCATGGTAACCACTAACGAGTGCGTCATGACCACCTGGTGCCCGCGCGTCAGTGTAATCCTCCTGCCGCGCTGAAAAATGGAATATGGCTGGCTGTTGCGTTCCAGGGTTGCGCACCAGTGTGGGTCTCAGCGGAGTGGACCACAGGCATTTCCTCGCACTTACTCAGTCAGCTTCCACGAATGTCTGGTGCATACTAACCGATCCATTTTACTGATATTTTCGCTAGGGGAGCAATATTTAAAGAGAAAACGACCAAATCCTACCGTCTGTACCGCGACAACCACCTGTTTGTCCGCCATCTTGGATGAAAGTGCATCCTGGGATAGATGGAAACCTGCATTCTCATTGGTTGACAGCGACGTAAACAGAAAAGTCGAAGCGAGTAGGATAAACTATAAATCACATGTAGACAGGACGAAATGTATCATAAAATGCGATGTACTATTTCTACCATTACATTGCTTTACTATGCAATGAAAATGGCGGTAAAAAATATCAATTAGATCCAACTTTGAGCTTTATTTCTCTTCACTTCCATAGTTAAAGGCAACTAAAAATATGGCAGAACAGAATATTTCTACATTTCTACTAACCAATGTATTTGTATCACATCACCTCAAGATATATCTTCGTGAACATTATCTTGGTCTTGTTGCTTTCAGAACAATAGACATGCGAGATGTACTTTATTTCTCGATTTCTACACTCATTCAATCAAAACAAAAAAGCTGAAATGTACAAAGAAAGTTAATACAAACGAGTGGGTAAGCACGATAGAGATAAAAATCAACATACATTTTTAGTTTATAAAAAAATCGCAAGGTCTCAATCTAACAGTACAAATAACTAGTAAACGGTGTTCTTGTTAGTTTTAATAATATCATTACATGCACCCATAAAATACCCAATATTAGTTTGTGTCGATATTTTTATAGTACAATTTACAGTTGTGCTTAGTGCCTCAAAATGTACATCTTCATTGACAGCAACCATCAATTTCCGTTTAAAGTACTAAGTAGTAGATCTAGCCGTTTAATATCGTAGTTGCATATGTTATGTATGATTTTTAGTTTTGTAGTCACTATTTTGTATTCCTAACAGTCACTGTCTGGCTCGATCTGGTCTAGGTGACATCCAAAGTATATTCCGTTCCCTCATTTACAAGGAGCCCCGTAGCTTGTAGCAAATCGAGTAGCACCCAGGTTAGGCTTGATCATAGTTATCACGTATCATTTTATGACACTTTTTTTCGATGAAATGTGGGTTATCTGTGATGTCTCTTCGATCTGAAAATCACGTATCGCTGATGACCACCGTTTGCTGAGATCTACTAGCTGCACTGCTAGTTGCAGTGGAGTAAATGTCTGGGGCAAAAATATTTGTTCTGCCGCCTATTCCGTCTAGGCATCTCCAGACGCTGCCTCTTTCTCCGCGGCCGCCTCTCTCTGTCTCTCTTCCACCTCTTGTACCATCCCCTGTGCCTAGAGATTTAAAAAAAGAGTAAAACGTTGTTCAAACATTGTTGAAATGTGCCCCATTGCTGACGATGCAAGAAAAACAGCACTGAACAAATATTTCCACGGTTCTGATACAGATTCGAACTGATATCGTCATTAGAATTATGATGATGATTTTGTTGCTATTGTATGACTTAGCATACCTATGACATCATTATCTTATGTTCCATTACTTTCTTAGTTTGCATTTTGTTTTCACGGGCAAGGGGACTATACACGCATACCAAAGATCAAGAGATGACTAAATAAAATTAGAAGAAAACGATTCTACACAATAATACATCTCCAACCATATTTTGGGAGGAAAATCGTAACATATCTCCTCGTCCCTACGTAAAAAACGGGGCAGGCAGACAACATCAGTTTCACGATTTTCCTTTCAAACATTTGCTTGGAGATGAGTAACGTTACTCACCCAGATGAAGAAGGCGGCTGCGCCTGCGCTCACGTCTCGCAGCTGATCCAGATCAAACTTGCTCAGGATTTTCTTGGCGGTCCGGGCGACTTCCGGCGGGATCTTCTTGATGTCGCACTGCTGCACGCGTCTCTTCAGGTTCTCTTTACCCGTCTTCCCGATAAACAGGCGCACATCCTGCCAGCTCTGGAAGGGTGTAACGGGGGGGCGGGGGATTAAAAGAGGTCAAAAAAGAGATTTTGTCTTTATTTATTGAATATTGGACCTGCTAGTGCTGCATACGATCGAGGGCTAATTTTATATGGATGAAACGAGACGTGTATAAATACAATCTAATAGTTTAACAAGGCATAAGAAAACCACAACATTGAAGTCTTGTAAGCTAACTTATTACCAGTGACAACATCAAACGATTGCGAAACAGGTCTAAATTGTGCCGTACCGCTTTATGTCTTGTTTCGAGTCTACAAACAAATCAGATAGCACAGTCACTGTTCCCTTACTTTCAAATTGCTGGCGCTCTCTCCGAGGAGGAGGTAGGTGGCCAGCATGACTTTGTGCACGGGTTTGGGCGGGTTGGAGTAGGACCGGATCTCTGATATCGTGCTCTGGTTCAGCTGCAGTACCTCGTGACGTAAACTAGAGGGCAAAGGACGTAATATGTGTATCAGAAAGTATTATAGTGTGTTACAAATTTGAAAATACGTGTATGTCAACGTCGTTCAGACAGGTCAAAACATTGTCTCTACCAGACTTCCAAGGGATGGCTGGTACTAGACATTGGGCAAATAGACTGAATAGAATACTAGAGGAGTTAGCTGGCCATAGGAGTACACGTTGCAACCCTTTGGAGTCTGGTAAAAGATAGTCAAAATAGAGACGTCCTGGCGATCTTTCTGCACGATAAAATGCATGCCTAGAAGAGTTGATTTGATTTTGATTTTATTTATTCGCACATATATAACAGTAAAAGCAAACTTCACAAAACATAAGCAACGGGAAAAAATAAACGTAAAGGGTAAGGGAAATAGCCAGTGTGGCTTGTTTGGTGTTCAGTAATGGTGGACAAAGCTGTTGTACCTTTCCAGAAGCCGTAGGGACTCGGCGACGCGCTCCGCCTCTGCCATGTCCACCCGCAGTCTGTCGGCCAGACCCTGCTCCCTGACGAGCCCCATGGCCTTCTCAATGTCGGTCAGGCTGCGCCGGCGAACAGCGTCCCGCAGGACTGGAAAGGTAAGAGTGGATATGGTTACATGATAAAACCGGTAAACGATCTTACCGTACGTCGTAGATTTAAGAAGGAAATGCGCCATAGTTTAATTTTCTTCTCGAGCTTACGGCGTACGGTAATACACATGTATCTTCACAGAAAAGCAGCGTAGGTTCATCGTATGGTGTATGTGAAAGAAGATACAAAGATACAAACTTTTGCGGTACCAAAAGGAACCGCCAGGTGACCCAAAACACATCCTTTACAAACTCCTTTCGATTATTTTTCCTTAGCCTTAACACACCAACTCATCCAAGCAAATCCTCCTAGGAGTATGGAGACAACTACATGTATTACCGTATCATTTGCAGGTAGAGAGCACTCAGAAAGAAAGAAGAGAGCGATAGGGTGAATAGCTTATTAGCTATTTCACCTGAGTAATTTCTTTACTTACCATTCTGGAGCTCCAGTTCCTTCTCGACGTCTCGAGCATGTGAGTAGACGTCCTCATCAGTGGACATCCCCGCCTCTCGCCACTGCTCCATGGCGGTCTGCAGTTCCAGGGCGTCCCTGCTGTGGCAAGCCTGCCTAAGTCGTTCGCGAAATTCTTCTTCTGAAAAGTTACACTTTACGTCAATGGCAATTTGATTTTGGCAGGGCATTTGCTGATTGTGTAAGGCAAAGATGTCTTGTGACATTACCTCACAAAGGAACGATATCGTTCATCAGGATGTTAAGAAAGGTACATCGATGACAGGCTATAGCTAACAGACAGGTGTGTTCAGTCTACGGTTGCATCTGCTAATCTGACCAGGGTTGATTGAGCTTTCCCCTGATTGATGAAAAGCACAGAGAACAAAAAAGCAATACATTTTGTGTATCAACTCAATTTCCAATATCTTCAAGAGCAAAATATTCTCAGACTCACCCTGTTGCTTTCTTCTTTTTTCCTCTTCCGAGGCTTCGTCTGCTTCGTCGCCACTTGCGAGGGAGTCCACGTCCATATCGTCTTCCGCACCACAGTCGTGACCGTTCTCGTCTGCACCGACTTCGTCTGCATCGTCGTGTCTTTCCGCCTCTTCCTCGGCATCGTCCGGCTCCTCCTCGGTTGTCTTCGTTTCTGGATCGTGCAGACTCGGTTCTTCGTCGTCATGACCCACTGGAAGTTCGGATTCAGAGTCTCCACCGTTCAGACTGTCGTCCGACACGTCATCTGGCTCTTGGGCGAGAAGAGAAGATTCCTTCACTGGAATTCTGTCCAGGGAGTCGGTGCTGATTCTTGTTGACATCTGCTCTGTTACGGTCTCGGTTTGTTCTAGTACTGTAGCTGTTCCAGACACCTTCTCAATTGTTATGGTTTTAGTAGTGTGAACGGTTTTCGTGTAAATTCTTCCTTCCGAATCGCGCTCATTCTCGCGAGAGTCGTCGGAGGTACTAGTAGTAACTTTTTCGTAGTCCTCTTCTGAGAAGGGGATGACGTCACTGTTGGACTCGGGGCTTGCCCGGTCTTCCGAGGACCCGTGCTCGCTCTTGTTCGACCAATCGTCGTTGCTAGATTCCTCACCGATATCTTTGGTTTTAGAAGCTTCTTCAGTTAGAGATACTACAGTTTGTGCATCGGTGACGTCACTGCCTTTCATGTAACCGCCTTCTGTGATGCTGTCGGTTGCGACGTCAGAAGTCTGGGTCTCGTCTGCATACTGCGGTTCTGGGCCAAGGTCACACCTGTAGATCCCCTGTGAGAACAAAACATGTTTGTTTGTTTGTTTTTATTTATTAGGATCTCCATTAATGTTACATGTGATGAGCTATGTTGACATCTCATTGATGTCTCATTTAAAATTTTACGTTCTTTGCCGTGTCGCTGGGATCAGATGACAAGGACGCATTTTAACTACATTGTACGTGTCTATCTACATTTTGTATTCATGGTAATGCGGCAAAATACATATCAGTCGGGAATTTTATATCTGAAACAGTAAGATCAACAACACTGTCTTACTTTGTAGGTGTTGAGCTTCTCCTCCAGACGACACTGGACGTCATTGGCTGCCATGGTAACGGTGTTCCAGCGGAGCTCCAGCACTAGCGCGAGGAGCTGCAGCGAGTCTCCTTCCTCTTCTTCTTCATCATCATCTTCTCTTCCCTCCATCATGTCAACCGACATCAGGCTGTCCTCTGGGTCCATGACGTCATCCTTCTGAAGCGAGGAATCATGGGATGTCTGTTCTACTTTCGCGCCATCACGATGCGGTGGGGGTGTGCCCTTGTCTTCTATAGAAACATCAGCGTCAGTTAAGATCTCTTTCGTGTGCTGACCTAACGAGATATCCTCTTTGTCTGAGGCAGAGCCTTCTTTCGGCGGAGTCGAGGCACATTTGTCGTCTGTTTCTGTCTGTTCCTCGACTTCAAGGTCATGACTGTGACCTGACGTGTCGCTGAAACTCTGGGACAGGGGGCTGCACATGCGCACGGCAGGTTTGTGGAGTAAGTCGGCACACAGGAGCAGGAGCTGGTCTATGTCCCCGCTGCCGGTCGTGGATTTGTTCTGTGATGGCCTGTGAAGTACCAAAGAAATGATCTTGTTAATACAGTACTGGTAGGGACAATTCATCCCTATACTTTCGTTTGTTTTCACTGCAAATTGAGCATTCCTAGCAATTCATATCACCTTGGAAAATCATCTTTTTCTATATCGAGGTCAGAAATTTCAAATCACGCTATCAAACCCTACTGTACAGCCCACTTCAACGTAACTGCTTCTTGCCTCTGCATAATTCAGAGCCTGAGCAAGGCAGGCACCGGCAAGTAGGAGTTCCTTCATTGACGCATTCCTAGCACTTGACAAGCTGTAAGTTTAAAAAATAAATCTTAGCCGCCGATCTTCATGTGTCTTACAAAAGCTATATTTATTTCTTTACGTTGCGGTCGCCATCTTGGATCCATGCGCTCCACCAATATGGCGGCAAATGTACAAGGTCTGACCTGGTGGCTGGCGAGGCTGTCCTCCACGTCCTGCAGACAGGTGATGGCGTGCAGCCCGCTCACGTCCAGCCGCGCCTCCATCGCCGAGAACCAGGACTGCAGCTCGCACAGCTGCTGCTCAAGGCAGTCTGAAACAAACGGGAGAAAGGTTCAAGCGTTAGACTTTTCTCTTTTGGCGGACGTGGACAAACAAGCAAAGAAACAAACATGCACACACACACATACACACACACATACACCCCCCCCCCCACACACACACCTAGTAAGTGAAATAGAGACTGAGGGCGTATAAGGGTTGCATAGTCTCCACATGACACTCCCAAGGCCATGTAGTGTTGTAAAAATCTTCAAGATAAATGATTGTTGGGGTGAACCACCAGAGAAGTTAAACGCTGGCAAACTTCTACAGCACGTGTAATAAAGTATGTCATTTTTCTGATACACACACATGCCGTTTTGCTGGAAAGAGAGTAGCTACACCTGTGTAAATTTGGAGGGTTCCTAGGGATGTAACACACGTTATAACGATGATTGATTTACAAGTTACAATACACTACTATGAAGCACAATGAACCCAAACGGAAACGTTCTTCACAAAGAACATCCACCGTAACGCATGGGAAGCCTTTTTGTCATGTTGTACACGCACGCCGCCCAATTAGGAACGAACCCTGGCACATTCAATTTTGTTAATTGACTTTGACTTTATTTGCATTTTGACACAATACTCGTAGAGCTTGCTAGACTTCCAATCGTAAGAACCAGAAATGCTCGAATGTGTGATGTTTGCAACGAAAATGAAAATTGCACAAGAGACGATAGACATCAAAGGTGCATATGCAGAACGAAAAAAAAATGAATTGCACTTTGCCTTGAATTTAAGAAAACATCTCGTCACCAAAAACCCAAATTCCCGTCCCCACAGTTAGCTTTAGCCCATTCTCGGGTAAACTTTGACATGATCATTATGTAAGGGGTCATCACCTTAGTTGGTATGTTGTGCGCGCGAGTATACACATGAACCATTAGCCCAGGGTTTGTTTTCTAACGGCTCACATTATGTGCCGAACTTGTGACCCCGTAATGTATTGTCTGCTTCAAATATTTGTGCCGGGCTGTTTTTCACCCGCGCAACGCCAGACAGTTGCCGACGTGGAGTATACATTATTGAGAACCGTTAGGATATTGAGTGTTCAGTTCCTGTGCCAGACGCCACGAGCAGGCACTTTCATTGACAGACGTGACAAACGTACGTTTGGTGGATAATAAAAAAGCAAATAAATAGTTTAATGTCAACAATGTCAGTGTCGGCGCCATTTTCATCGATAGTGAAAGCTGCTTTTACGTTTATGTTATCCTTATATTATATATGCCATAATTTCCTAATATACTAGTCCCTGTTAGGTAGTTTATGTACCAATTTCCCCCCGTATTTTATGTTTTAGGCCCCCTCGGAAGTCAACAAATTGTTGTAGGTGCTACCCAAATGTTTTGAAGCACACGCTCTACTTCGTTATGATGCATACACCAAAGGTCTGGGTTGAAGACTGGTATTGATCCGATCCGTTCCAATTGTGGAACAAATGGGCCATTATCCCGGTTGTATGGCGCCCGGGGCACATGTCCTGATGGCCTCCATCTACCGGCAGATGTTACGAGGGAAGATCGTAATGTTTTATACTGACTTATGCCCATATTTTTCCCGCTTGAACGTGCTGTTTTGACCTTTAGTACTCTGAACGTCAACGGTATGTCACAAAGCCATACTAGTATTGGAAAGGAACCTCAAGATACATGTTTGTGAAAAACAATTCGGCACCCCACGACGTACAACAAAACCCTTACCTATCCTGTCCTCCTCTTCCTCGTTGTGTTGTGAAGTTTGCAGGATGGACCCGAGGTCCAGAGACCCTACAGAAGTCTCCACCACCGCCATGGCTCCCTCCGCCCGTGTGTAGGTCAATCGTCAGCCAAACGGACTTTCGTCGCCCAGCCTCGGCTCTGTAAACACATTCCTTTGATCACCTCAAGGGCTAGTCATTATTTCACTAAAGGTTACTCCTGTGTACATTGTGTAGCAATGGCGGTTGTAAATCGTAGTCCTTAAGCAAACTTAATGCGCCCACGAGAAGGCCAGAAAGCTTCGCACGCCTTTGATTATTATTCACTACGCACTTCATTATATGTGTTGAATCCATGACTTGGGAGTTGGAATATATTGCGTGCGTTAAGCCGGAATACCGCGGGGGAACAGTCTGTCTGGGGTACGTGGTGGAATGACCCTTATGGATTTGTATGAGGGTAGTGCGAGGTGTTACCACGACGACAGGTAGGATTTTCTGAAAGGAGCCATTATGGTAAAAACTGTGAAGTTACAGAGGATTCGGTCAAAATCGAGCGACATACATGTGCTACTACGCGTGTTGGGCCTTTCGCCGATCCAAACGTTATATACCATTACCACTCTGCGGTTTGTGAAGCAAATAGTACATTGATGAATTACGAGGTAGCGGATCGTACGGTTGCCCCCAGCGTGCTGGTTAGCACTGGCATGTAACTACAGGCAACTACCGCAGCTCACAGTGACATTGTAAGGAAAGATCTGCCTTACCTGACCCTCCCAGCACCAATGGCATCGATCTTTCCGGCCGTGAGGTTGGGAGTGGCGAGGGAAATTCTTCCGTAGCTGCGTAGCGCGGCTCGCCCTTAACAAAGACTGCGCACGCCCCCGCTTTGTTCACGCCCGGCACGGCTTAATATCCGACGTCGGCGTGCCGTTTAAAAGCAGTTTATTGTCGGTAATAAACGACGTGTTGTGATCAGCGCGGTCTGACCAACTGGTCACGAGGTATCTCCAGGTTACGGCAGATAAGCCATAATTGAGAATTAAGGCTGGCGCGGGGCACAGTTGACAAAGAAAGGGCCGTGCATACGTTACAGACCACATGACGTAAACTTGTACCGAATACAGCTGTGCGGAAAAGAATGATAAATAGCGGTTTCCGGGGTAATGACGATCATTGGGTAGGAATGTGGGTGTAGGGGCGAAGGGGGTGGGGTAAGGAACAACGTGTTCACAATAGGTGTTGATGCTGGGCTTAACACGGCGCTTTTCAACACTTGTAGTGTTCAACTCTACCATTTACTCTTACGGGCAGGGGCAGGAAATGACATTAGAATAGGCTCCGTCTTGATCCACTAGTAAAGGGATTGTCGTCTCCTTACCAGAGTATATCTTTCAATTTGCAAAGTCGAGTGAACATTATGTACTAGTATTTGCACAGCGTGTCGCTTTCTTTTCGTGTTTTCGTGAAGTTAATCTTTGTTACCGCAGGGAAACAACTTCTTCAAAAATTTATAACTATGTTAATAATCGTATTCAACGTTGACATTTTTGTCAATTAAGGTTTTCATCAGTGCACTAATTGCTGGCTTGCCCCTGAGTAGTATCATTACTGAGATAACGGCAGGTCCTTACAACAAATCACGGTGTGACAAGACCTGTGACATTTGGCGCATGACGACCAGTGCACGAGTATGGTCGGGCATTGTGTAGTATTTACGTCAAAGCAATGAGGTATGTATTAGATAGCGCTTGCAATGAAACTTAACACAGCAAAATGTATTGGATGCAAAAGATACTTGCAGAACAGTTCTTGACTGTGTTATTATTGTGTACAGTATCAATATACAGAAAACAAAGGGCTCAGTCGACCAACTTTTCACAACTATTTCTGTTACGGTATCAGCGACAATTGATAAGGTAAGTACACATGTACAATGATTGACACTCAATTTCTGAGCAATAATGCCATTTTGTGCTTAAGTCTCTCAATTACAGAGATCTGTACAAAAATCAGAAAATATTTTTCACAACGTTTAGATACATAATGTCACATTTGAGTGAACAATATGGTGCGTGTGATCATGAAAGGATTCCCAAGACCTCTTGCTGACTGTAGTCGCAGCAAAATATTTATATACAGACATTGCCAGTCAATTTAGAGTTATTCATGACAGTTTGTTTACTTGTTAGTGTTTGTTGGGTCAAGAATTATATTTGGCATACGATACACCCGTTTTAAGTAGAAATATACCACTCTTATCAAGTTCTCACATGCAGAAAAGGCACATGGTAAACAGAACGATATACCTACATGTATAACATGTAGTCTGCTATTAAGCTTTGATCTAAACAACGAAATCCTTCCTCAAACAAAAACGTACAGCTGGTGTTTAGGCGTAATCAGCTAGCCCTCAATCAATAAAAAATAGACGCCTGCTTATTCATCAGGGACAAACCTGGTATGGTACTAGTAGATGGGGAAGAATGCACCTTGAAAGGTGATGTGCACAAAAATGTGCCACTGTAATGGAGGGGAAAATCAGTCGATAATATAACGTTGCCCTGATATAAGAGCATCTACATTACCGCGGTAAGTCATCTGATTTCCAAACAGTTGTCAGATGAGACGATCGTAAAACGAGCGATCAGAAAACCACAGGATCTCCCCCTCCAACATCTGCTTGGAGATCAAAGCGACCCGCTCAGGTCATTCGTGGTCGGTCCCTCAATGTTTTTTTTTCTTTCAAGGTCGGTGACTGAATTACGCAGTCACAACAGCTGTCAACAAGCATTTACGGTAACGATCTGAGGAGGCTGTTTGTAAAACAATTCTGCTGAGTCATTCGCAGCTTGGTTTGGAGGTATTGCTTTGCTTTGCTTTAGAATTTCGTTGCAAGGAAATATCATATAAACTTGAGTGAAAAAGATTGTCAACATATGATACTTGATAAAAGTAATGAAGTCTCTGAGTCACTAGATCTTAAAACTCCGAATGTCCCCTAATTTTTTCTACAATTATACAATCACACCCCTGCCATCAGCGTGAAGTGCTTATGCAAACATAACGCCCTCGGTAGTTCAAAAGTTGCAAAATCAAAGATCTGATAGTTCATGTAATCCACCCGTCTCTGATTGGTTGACAACAGAGGTGTGTCCAAGGCGGGGCGGGGGCGTGGCTCTTGCCAGTAAACTAATATTGTTCTCTGATCTCCTCACTTCATGAGGTCCTGCAGCCCACAGACCAGGTTGGCAGGCACGGCCTTGTCGATGAGCCGGGGGTACGGCAAGTTCAACTCGTTCATGAGCTGCACGAACTCGGCTTTAGGCTTGGTCAACCTGGGGTTGAACTTCTTCTCCTCGGCCACTGTGGTGACCGTCTGGCCGGTGTAGTCGTGCGCGGGGTAGAGCTGCGTGTCGTCGGCGAGGGACAGGATCTTGCCATGCACGGAGTCGTACAGGCGGCCGGGGTCGCCCTGCTGGAAGTCCGTGCGGCCGCACCCGCGGATGAGCAGGGCGTCCCCGGTGAAGGCCTTGCCGTGGTCCCTCAGCACGAACGTGAGGCAGCCGTCCGTGTGTCCCGGCGTGCTGCGGACCTCCAGCTCGAACCGGCCGAACTTGACCGTGTCCCCTTCGTCCACGTGAACGTCCGCCACCGCCTTGCTCACCCGCGCGATCACGCTCTTCACTCCCGCCCTCTTCTTCAGTTCCCCCGTCCCTGTGACATGGTCGGCGTGCACGTGTGTGTTCAGTGCGTAGGTCAGCCTGAGGCCGAGCTCAGAGATGACCCTGGTGTCCCGATCCACCATCTCGATCACGGGGTCGATCAGGACGCACTCTCCCGACTCGCGGTCCCCCAGGACGTACGTGTAGGTGAAGCTGGTCTGGTCGAAGAGCTGGCGGAACACCAGGCCCGAGCTGTCTTGTCTTGTTTCTCCGGTTGCATTGCAAAGTCCTCGGCAGTGCAGGAGAAAGGGGGAGGGGCGCAGTTCTGTTCGACATCGCTTCGCCGAGCTGACGCTTCGCCAGAGGCCGGCCAGGGCTCGTCTTCCTGCCGAGGCCATCCTTGCGTTCCCCTGGCAAGGATATGCGTCCGACAGCAAGCGCAGATTCCTCTTATAGCCGCTGGTTTATTGCACTTTGCGTACGTGCAAGTCGTCCCTGCAGAGTATGACTAAACAGATTCGACCTACTCTGGGAACGAGAAGTACGCAGGGGTCATCGTCCTCCAGTTCGGAAGAAACCATTCGCAACATGGGGTATCGCACAACTTCACTTGCGTAGAACTAGCAGATGAACGGCATTTGTATATATTTATATATTCTCAACGTACTTTCGTTTGATGTATAGAAAGGAAAGTATAGAAACCTGACTTCCAAAGAAATAAAGCGATTCCAGAAATATCCCAATGCTTTCACGTGTTTATCTTTACAAGTGGCCCCAGCTGGGTAACGCAGTCCGTACTAGTCTCCACCAGGCTGCAGGCTGAATACTAGTAAATAGTAGAAATCAGCCTAAAAATGAATGTAACTGACAAAGCAGGCAATGTTTACTTCCATGACCAAAAGTTCCCAACGTTGTTGACTCACTTGTACAGCGTATTAATAATTAAGACGAACGAATGGGGTTCAGCTGACACTTTTGGTTAACCATTGTACCGTTTTACCTTTGCTATGACTCCAATCTTTTCTTCCGTTGAAATTTTTACTACAACCAAGGACGCTATACAAACTTGCATTGAGAGCGCCCGTCTTATATGAATACAGTAATAATGACTTGAAGCTTTAGACAAGTCACATGACCCTTAACTTACTTACAAAGCTAGCCTCAGCCTCAGGAACCTGTTATCAACTGTTTCCATCATTCTTGATGAAAGTCGTTCTTGATGGTCAGTCTTCTACATCCTATTCAATCAACGCCGGTGTTCCTCAAGGCTCAGTTCTTGCCCCAACACTATTTTTAATATTTATTAACGACCTGCCCGACCACATTCTATGCCAACTTGCTGTCTATGCGGACGATTCCACCCTTTACTCCAACTCTAAAGGTCCCGGTTCTATGCTAGATAAGACAGAAATGGCAGCTGGGTTGGAAAATGATCTGCGATCTGTCGTTGAATGGGGAGACAATTGGTTAGTCACTTTCAACGCCCAAAAAACAAAACTCCTCTCCATCAA